CTTAAAAGAACAAATGCTCAAATGTATGCATTTTCCTTTCTTCATTGTAATGCTTGTGTGACACTCCACTATCGTTCAAAAAAAAAATTAATAAACCAATTAATAATCATCCATTTAAAGCAATACATATTTAAAGGAAGCAGAAGAAGCAATGATGACTCTACTAGTTCACACACACACTTCACTTCATGAAATTGATTATATTAAGGTAGGCGGACCTCAGGTGCGTGTGATAAATTACAAAAGTACAGCACATAATTCACTTCAAAGTATGTCAATGGAACATCTCTTCTCTTTTTTTAATGCCATAAATTAGGGCTGCTGTCTAAAAAATCATCATGCCCAAAATCTCAAAACTAAGGACATCAAAAGATTAACCTTTACCAGTATTTTCTGGCCATTAAAGTCCTAAACACTGCAACAACAGGCAAGGGGCAATAAAAGGATTTGGTATGATACAGAAACTGAAAAGAATGTACTAAGAATTATCAAATAATTGGGTACAAGAGGTGCATACCACTACATAAATGACCATATATTATATAACATACAAAGGTGGGCACTTAGTTCCACTATCACAGCTATGACAACATTGAACTGCCATCATGTATAACATTATAGAGGTTCACAAGACCTGCACACATTTTGCTCTATCACTTTAAAACAGAAAAACATCAATATATTCAGCAAATTTCTCACATGCTTTAGGGACCAATAATGAAATAAATTGATAAATGTTCACAATGATGCTGAAATTATCATTTTATCTGCCCCAGTGTTGCTCGTAATATAATTTGCAACAAATCAGATAACAGTTAATGTGGGCTGTCATGCAATTAATAATCAAACCCCAAAGCACTACTTAATTCCAATATAAATCAACTGCTTGTACCATATTCACAACTGCATCTTATTTCCTCCAACATTTTATATGAAAAATAAATCACAGTCAGTCTCTCTGGCAAATCTTCCAAGAGACAATTATTCTTTTAAGCTAATGAAATTAGTCAATTTTCCAAGCAAGGACTTCTGTGTGACCAGCTGGCTTGAATATACCACTTAAATTCATATTAGACAATACCCATATTATTTTCCCAGTGTTTCAAATCTTTTATTCATCAGAACAAATGCCATGGCCTTATACAAAGAACTTGCATCGCAAATAAGACTGTTTATTCAAGTTTATATATATGCATTTGGGGAAAATAGGAAAATCAGTATGACAGCTTTATATTTATACTTCCATAATGTAGAGAGTACTGTTCTGAAGACAGGTTCATCTGGATACGATTTAGCAGCAGATATGTTCAGGTATATTGTCAGGTAACAATACAAGCAGTACAACTAGCACATGCTTCAGTGTTCTTCAACAGGGTGCAGATTAAACTTTTATGCATTTTTGCTCTGGCTAGTCCTGTCACACACCCAATGGGCAAGTATGACCTTTTACTTTCTTTGGACATTTATTTAGGACCATGCAAAACTTGGCATGTGGCCATACGATTATGTTTTGCACCCTGCTTTGAGAGTAATAAAAAGTATGAGAAGTCTGCATATGACCTAAATTGGACAAAAATCGAATCTAAGACTTGAAACACAGAAACTAACATGCAGATCAACTTTCACAAAACTGATTACTTAAAACCATTATTATTAAATTGGTATTATCTTTATCTCTGTTCTGAAACACAGGTGTTAATCTACTTAATTCCATTTTTACCATAATAATACTAATAATAATATAAATTATTGCGACAACCTTTATCAATTTTCATATACTAAGAAAGAGACTCACTGTCCTTATTGCCTTTTTGCCATGAAATCTTAATGAGACCTAGTACTATACATGTACTTGAATAAAAATCCATTTCACTTTTTTAGAAATCATATCCAACTATAAGCTACACTTTTTAATTTGATTATAAGATTCTATAATACTCAGTGCCATCACAATCTGAAATATATAACTCTTTCTAAACATGACAGCACAATCCAAAAACACTTTTAAAAAATGTAGTATAATGTACATGTAAAAGTTATTGCAGAAAGCTTAGAAAACATCTGGGTGGTGCTAACACTCCTCAATTTAGCCAAATGCTAAAACTGATTTATGCTGGCTTAACAAAATAGGGTTGATTTGACTTGTTTTTATCAAATTTAAACTATTAAGAGAAAAAAGTGATGAAAAAGTAAAGATTTGTCTACACGAAAAAAAATTTTAATGCTACCCCAGAATCGGGTATTGATCTTGCTTTTTTCACCTTGAGTAATCTAAATTAAACGCGATGCAAAGAGTCACATGTGCAACTACCTTGTGATGGGGTATCATGTGCCACATATGGCTTAGATTGACTGGACTTGCACATGTACATGTAGTAGCAGCCAACCAATCAAGCACTGCAGTGGAGAAGTAGGGAAATTGGTAAAATGGTAATCGTCTATGACCAAATATGATAAAATTCATATTGGAGCAGACATTTAGGGTATTTAAAAAGGGGGTCCTTTATGTGTTAAACAAATGAGTTTTTTTTACTGTACCAGGTAATATTGGCAGAATCCCAACNAAATTATCATTTTATCTGCCCCAGTGTTGCTCGTAATATAATTTGCAACAAATCAGATAACAGTTAATGTGGGCTGTCATGCAATTAATAATCAAACCCCAAAGCACTACTTAATTCCAATATAAATCAACTGCTTGTACCATATTCACAACTGCATCTTATTTCCTCCAACATTTTATATGAAAAATAAATCACAGTCAGTCTCTCTGGCAAATCTTCCAAGAGACAATTATTCTTTTAAGCTAATGAAATTAGTCAATTTTCCAAGCAAGGACTTCTGTGTGACCAGCTGGCTTGAATATACCACTTAAATTCATATTAGACAATACCCATATTATTTTCCCAGTGTTTCAAATCTTTTATTCATCAGAACAAATGCCATGGCCTTATACAAAGAACTTGCATCGCAAATAAGACTGTTTATTCAAGTTTATATATATGCATTTGGGGAAAATAGGAAAATCAGTATGACAGCTTTATATTTATACTTCCATAATGTAGAGAGTACTGTTCTGAAGACAGGTTCATCTGGATACGATTTAGCAGCAGATATGTTCAGGTATATTGTCAGGTAACAATACAAGCAGTACAACTAGCACATGCTTCAGTGTTCTTCAACAGGGTGCAGATTAAACTTTTATGCATTTTTGCTCTGGCTAGTCCTGTCACACACCCAATGGGCAAGTATGACCTTTTACTTTCTTTGGACATTTATTTAGGACCATGCAAAACTTGGCATGTGGCCATACGATTATGTTTTGCACCCTGCTTTGAGAGTAATAAAAAGTATGAGAAGTCTGCATATGACCTAAATTGGACAAAAATCGAATCTAAGACTTGAAACACAGAAACTAACATGCAGATCAACTTTCACAAAACTGATTACTTAAAACCATTATTATTAAATTGGTATTATCTTTATCTCTGTTCTGAAACACAGGTGTTAATCTACTTAATTCCATTTTTACCATAATAATACTAATAATAATATAAATTATTGCGACAACCTTTATCAATTTTCATATACTAAGAAAGAGACTCACTGTCCTTATTGCCTTTTTGCCATGAAATCTTAATGAGACCTAGTACTATACATGTACTTGAATAAAAATCCATTTCACTTTTTTAGAAATCATATCCAACTATAAGCTACACTTTTTAATTTGATTATAAGATTCTATAATACTCAGTGCCATCACAATCTGAAATATATAACTCTTTCTAAACATGACAGCACAATCCAAAAACACTTTTAAAAAATGTAGTATAATGTACATGTAAAAGTTATTGCAGAAAGCTTAGAAAACATCTGGGTGGTGCTAACACTCCTCAATTTAGCCAAATGCTAAAACTGATTTATGCTGGCTTAACAAAATAGGGTTGATTTGACTTGTTTTTATCAAATTTAAACTATTAAGAGAAAAAAGTGATGAAAAAGTAAAGATTTGTCTACACGAAAAAAAATTTTAATGCTACCCCAGAATCGGGTATTGATCTTGCTTTTTTCACCTTGAGTAATCTAAATTAAACGCGATGCAAAGAGTCACATGTGCAACTACCTTGTGATGGGGTATCATGTGCCACATATGGCTTAGATTGACTGGACTTGCACATGTACATGTAGTAGCAGCCAACCAATCAAGCACTGCAGTGGAGAAGTAGGGAAATTGGTAAAATGGTAATCGTCTATGACCAAATATGATAAAATTCATATTGGAGCAGACATTTAGGGTATTTAAAAAGGGGGTCCTTTATGTGTTAAACAAATGAGTTTTTTTTACTGTACCAGGTAATATTGGCAGAATCCCAACTTATCATTTTTTATCATAGGATTGCATGTTTATCCTAAGAACTTGGTTTCTTTTTACCAGCCACCACATAGTCAGGTCAATTTGCTGCTCATGATGTCACATGCAACCAACTCATACAAAGGGCACATAAGTAATTCATTTGCCAAGTTGAATAATAATCACTTTTTTCTTTACTTTGAAGAAAAAAATATGCTGAAGGATTAAAACAACCAAAACTAATATACTGGGTATCAGAACATATCCAACCTGAACAATAGACCTGGTGTTGGTAAATTGAAAGCAATCAACTTTATTTCCCCATTTTTATTTCAATCAACTGACAAGAAAAAAAAACTTAATCTGAGTTTCTAAACAAAATGCATGTAGAATTTTTGGCTAATGTAAGCAATGAACAAAATTAATGGCATTTGCTGGTGCTGGTGACACGATATTATTGTTGACAATTACATTGAAATTGGATCTTTGAATAATTATGTAATGTACTGTTGTGACGCGACAACCTCCACCTACGAGCAATATCAGAAGGCACAACACTGTAATGAATTGTTTTCGGATAAGAAACGTATATTTCTTATCAAACAATCGATACAAATTGCATGGAAGACGCATCATAGGTTTAGCTTACCAGATTAAGTGAAGAATCGCTAAAGCAGAGGCCGATATCACCAGATCATCTGAGCCAATCGACCAACGCCGATTAAAAACGACCAGACCAGGCATTTTACAGTAACTTCCAGTGTCACTTTAGTTCCAAGTCCTTCACGGCATATTGAGTATTCCACGCTATCGGAACAAGTTGAAGATTGACTCGAGCATTTAAGAATTTGAAGCTTTGCTGGTCGCCGCCATTTCGTTGATGACACAACCAATCGATTGGCAGCGCAGCTGGAACAGTCGTTGAGCATTCCCAGTGGATTTTTTCCAATAGAGGTCATTGACGAAAAACAATATCACGTAGTCTATAATCTGTAATTTATTTCATCAATTTTGCATATTTTTGGAGTGGCGTTATTATTTTTAAATTGTTTTGTTCTTTCTTTATTTATGTTTATTGCGCACCTGTTTTTTGCTGCGGGCTTGCTTTTGGAGCGGAAGTAGTAAAAACAGACAAAAAGACCAAAAATGATTATTGCTCAGGTAATATACTAGTTGTACGGAGTTCACCACATCACATACACTAACAAGAGCGTTCAGTTTTCAGTTCCCAACCTAACCGATTTGACATTTCCTATATTACTTTTAACAGACGTCACCGTAGAGTCTACTAGTACAAGTACTGTGTAATAAAAAAATAAAAACAAAGTCACATTGAGTAACTATGTCGTTAATGGTAACTTTCGTGTAAGTTTTGCTTGCAATTCCACTTACATTCAAAAGGTTTAGACTTGTTTTTTATCTGTGGATATATTGTATGAAGGTTGTTTGTTGTTATTATATCGTTGTGACATAAAAGTTTGATGTGCTATTTTTTAACTATATTACTTTCAGATTATCATTTCATGACAGTATGGAATAACTGAAATGAAACAACTTGCATAAAACATCTGGATTGTACTTAACAGTTGTAGTTCTCAAAATGCCAACAAGATCAAGATCTACCAGGCTTGTTTCCAACAGATACAGGACACATTACATTATTTTATTTCTTATTATTTTGATATTCCTTCTGGTAACAGCTTTTGTTCAGTTTTGGCCAAACACACTCACAGGCAAAGCAAGAGAAAGAAGAGACTTAAATAGTCTTCACAAACTAGAAAGAAATGCTCAATCTGTGGTAATTAAATCAAATGCCCCTCTGGCAAAAGAAAGAGACAGCGACTGCATATATCACACCTGTTTTGACGTCTATGGATGTGGAGACAATGATGGAGACCACAGAATCAAAGTGTATATTTCTCCTCTCACAAAATATGTTGATGAAAATGGAATATCAATAACACTGCCTCTGTCACAAGAGTACTTTGAGATTCTTGAAGCAATAGTCGAGAGCGAATACTTTACTTCTAGTCCCAATGATGCTTGCTTGATTGTACCACCTATTGATTTATTGAATCAGAACAAACTAAGAGTGGATGAAACATCCCAAGTTTTAGCATCATTGCCAAGGTTAGTATATACATATTTGTTATATTGAATGTTGTAGTAATTTTGAATTGTGTTTAGATAAAATGTCATCAATGTAAAGATGTTTTTTACATGAATAAGAAATGTTATTTAAGGCAAGTCTCTGTTGTATGAAATGTCTAAGTATTGAAAAAAGTGGTTGAATAATAAGTATTCAGAACTTGATTCAAAGTTTGTTTTACATCTTTATATAGCTGTTCTTGTTGTTTTGTCCATAAAATGTTTTTAAATTTTATTTTTTTAGATGGAATGAGGGTATCAACCATTTACTGTTCAACATGCTGCCAGGAAGTGTTCCCGATTTTAATACAGTATTAGATGTTAAACATGACAAGGCAATCATTGCTGGGGGAGGTTTTTCTTCTTTTACATACAGAAGAACATATGATGTTTCAGTCCCAGTTTATAACCCATTGGTGTCTGATAAAAAGATGCCAAAGAAGTCATATCTGTAAGTGAAAATCAGTTGTATAAAAATGCAGTTTTAATATATTCAACACTGATTTTATTTACTACTTTAATTTGGTCTTCCATGCACATACTTTCATTAATTTTTTAGCATAATTGATTCATGATGAAAACATTACAGTTATCTTTTATAATTTTTATGACATAGATATTTGATGAATATAATATTTTAATTTACTTTTAAAAGTACATAATTCAAGTTACTAACTTTTTATGTCAGGGAAAACAGAAGATGGCTGGCAATCTCTGCCCAAGCTGGAATCATACCAGACTATCGTAAACAATTATCAGACATGTCCAGACAGTATCCCAGTGATTTCAAGGTGCTTGATAAGTGTAAAGTGTTTGATGATGGGACATACAACCATACTGTAAGATGTGATGGAGAAAAGGAATATTCATACCCTGAAATTTTACAGGTACTGGCATGACTGTGGTTGTTTCAGCACACGAGTCTAACCTAATCCATTACATCATGTTCATCATTTTTTGTTATTGGAAAAGCTCTAAATTTCTTTTATTCTGAATGATATTTTGCACTTAAGAAGAATGATGAAGTATTTCTAACATTATTAAAAAGTAGTTAAGCTATGTACTATTTCTTTCACATTTAATGCAAAATGTAGTTTGTCCAGGGTTCATGTTTCATTTGTAAAACTTCTTAAAGTGACAAATTAAGTTTCAAAAATTCTGTGATACTTGTAGGCACAAATTTATTGGCACATTCCAGGAAGCCACATTCTGCACTGTGGTCCATGGTGCTAGACTAGGCCAGACTGCACTTAGTGATGCCTTGATGGCAGGGTGTATCCCTGTAGTCTTTGCAGATACTTTTGTTTTGCCTTTTTCTGAAGTCTTGGACTGGAAAAGGTAATGAAACTCAAAAATAACATGTTAAAAATAATTCATAAAATAAATATAAAAATATTAAGTTTTCTTCCTGTGTGAATCACAGATTTCATTGTAGTTATTTGCATCTTTTAAATGTAACAAGTTAAAAGAAAATACATTAACATTTGTTACATCTGCTCTGCAGAGAGATTACTTGATTATTTTACATAAATAAAACATCAAAAAGATTCAAAATGCACCAAAATTTGAAAATTAATGTATCAATTTTTCCACCTTCAGGGCGGCCTTGGTGCTACGAGAAGAGCAACTGCCAAAAATGATGTCCATTTTGAAAAACGTATCTTCTGAACGGATTCGTAACATGAGGAGACAGGTGCAGTTCCTGTGGCAGAATTATTTCAGTTCCATGAAGGTGATAGTTCTGACCAGTCTGCAGATTATCAACGACAGAGTGTTCCCATATGCATCTAGAAAGTATGATGAATGGAATGAGTTGCCTGAAAATGTAAGTCAGATGGAACAAAATAATGTTTAAGTTGTTTTTGTAAATGTATATTTTTGTAAAAACAAAGAACACGGTCAACGCTACAAGTTGTATTTAATTGAAAAGGGTGCACTTTTGATTTATACCTGGCAAGTATTTAACTGAAGTATCACATAGATTTGAAACGGAAATTTGATACATGATTGAACTATTTCAAACAGTGGACTATTTAGTAATATGCATTTGAAGAAAAAAATGTATCGTTATAATTAAATCACAAGATATATTGCCACCATCATTTAGCTGATAATAATGAATAAGACATTTTATTTCAGAGAGGATTGACTAGCCCACTCTTTTTCCCCATGATGCCTTCAAAAGCACAGGGATTCACAGCTGTCATCCTAACATATGACAGAGTTGATTCTTTGTTTCAAGTTATCAGACAAGTTGCCCAGTCACCAAGTTTAGCTAAAGTTCTTGTCATATGGAACAATCAGAAAAAATCACCACCATCTGGTGAGTTTATGCACCAGATTTATGAAATAAATGATTAAGATTGTTATACATTTTCATAATGTTCACAGTAGTTTGCTCTCAGTCATTCTTACACAGTTAAACATTTATTTGTGATTATCTTACATTATTTTCTCCATTTCAAAAATTATAACAAATGTTCTTTTTATTCTGTTTAGCTTCTAGTTGGCCTAAGATTGGTCCTCCATTGAAAGTAATTCAAACCACACAGAACTTGCTCAGCAACAGGTTTTATCCACACGAAGAGATTCAAACTGAAGCCATCTTAGCACTGGATGATGACATAGTCATGTTGACATCAGATGAATTGGAGTTTGGTTATGAGGTATGCATTATTAGAATTTCAATATACATTCCTCCAATGTTACCCAGTAGAGAAATTGCATCTTATTGTCATTAAAGTAAAAAAAAAAAGAACCCGTCCTATTAGTTGATTTTCAAATTGTTACTTTATACAGTATAAAAATAAATATGTTGAATTTTATGTTTTGTAATTTTGGTTTAGTCCTGTGGTTATTGTTATTTTTTATTTTGCAATTTAAAACATATTGTTGGATGGTATCAAGTAATTATTTATGTGTGAAAAGTAAAAAAAAAACTGATGCCCTATTTATGGGATTCAACTTTCTAAACACATTTAACCAGTCAAATCAAGTAGTCAAATGATAATTAATATTTTAACATGCTATTCTAGGTATGGAGGGAGTTTCCAGATCGTCTTATCGGCTTCCCATCTAGACTGCATCTGTGGGATAATACGACTGAGAAATGGCGTTATGAGTCTGAGTGGACCAATGAAATATCAATGGTTCTTACTGGTGCTGCATTTTATCACAAGGTTGGTATATCTAGTTACAGAGAATTAGTCTTTGATAGCTATTTAAGAGCTCTTGAATTGTCTCATTCATGATTGAAGTTGTAGACTTATCTTAAAGTAGGTCTTTCTGTCCATATATTCATTTCAGTGTTTATTTAGTTACATTTGATAATGATTACAGTACAAAACTAGATATTAAAAATGTGTTTTTAAGTAGTGAAAGAAGATTCCATGCAGATGCTGTGTTTCAGAAGCATTGTGAATGATTAGAAGTGTAGTCAATTGATTATTTAATTCTCATTTTGCTGCAAATGCTTCTTCCATACATTCACTTCTGGTTTATATTTTTTCAGTATTACAGTTTTCTGTATACACAAAAAATGCCAGGAAACATAAAGAAATGGGTGGATGACAATGTCAACTGTGAAGACATTGCTATGAATTTTCTAATTGCAAATATGACTGGAAAAGCACCCATTAAAGTTACTCCACGCAAGAAATTCAAGTGTCCAGAGTGCATAAATCAAGAAATGTTGTCAGCAGATGCAGCACATATGGTAGAACGTTCAGAATGCATCAATAAATTTGTGGAAGTGTATGGAACAATGCCGTTAAAAACTGCAGAGTTTCGAGCTGACCCAGTGCTTTACAAAGATAATATGCCAAGTCAGCTAATGCAATTTGCTGACGTAGGAAGCTTGTGATGATCTAGCTGAGTTTTGTGAGGCTGGTTCCTGTGCAGGAAATTGATTAATTATAGAGTAAAGATCTAAAGGTGCAACCTGAAAAAGGCTCAGATCCATTTAGATAAGATTTTAGGTTAAATCCTATCACCCAAACCATATTGTATTATTCAGTGTGCTGCTCAAAGACAAAAAATAACCTTTTAAAGCAACATTATAGCAAAAGTATGTTTTTGAACAATTCCATTCAATTTATCTGGTATTGTTACATAAAGGATCATGAAAAAGAACCCAGTATGGTTACATTTTAAATGTCGGTGCAAATAGAGAAAAAAAATTCTTAGATTTTATGTGGACCAAGTTCCCAATACAGTGTCAAGTTTTCCAGTGTACGTAAACTTTATTTATTTTTTGTATTCCATTTTTTATCATTCAGATTTTTTGCAAGTGTATAACAAGAATTCACGTAAGAATCTCCTGCATAAAGTGTAACACAATCTACAAGCATTTTGAAATTCGACAACTTAGAAAACTCCCACTTGAAAAGCTTTTAAATGTGCAAATTTTTTTGTGTTTAAGAATGCTTTATTTTATCATTCTTCTAACTAATTATGTTATATTCTTCAAATAATAAAGAATTGAACATTGAATTTTTTGTCTTACATCTATTTTATACTATTTTCTTAACCACATTATATGGTTTGGTAGGCATAAATATTAGCATGGAAATACATGTAGAAAATATCAGAAGAGGATGCACTAAAGCAAATCAAAATTGGCATATTGAGAGAGAAAAAATTATAGATTATAGGAGGGATGAACACTGAGCTCTATTTTTATGTGGTATTTACATACAAAAATAGAAGTGTAATGGGTCGGCATTTATATGTTGGTGTGCTACTTGGTCGTGGCATTTTATTGACTGCACCGGTTTTGGAGAACACATATTTACCCAAAACTAAAAAAGGAGGCTTAGTAAAAAAAAAGCATTCCATCAAAGAAACACATAAAACACATAAAATTGCAAATTAGAATAACAGATATCATAATTCTAAAAAAACACGTATTGCAGCCGGATGTACTGGTACATTGTAATGGAAAATATACCTCAACTACCCCCCCCTCCCCCCCCCCCCATTATACGTGCAACGTAAAACAGCTTGTTAAAGAACGCTTTTTTAGCAATTTTTTTATTCTGATTTAACTGTAGTCTAATAAACTCTTTTTTTGACGTCAGAGAAAGACAACAGGAAATGTTTGTTATTGTATTAAATGCATGTTAAATACGTGACCTTCGCGCGTTTTCCACCTTGAATACAATTCCTTGTAATTGCCTCGTTCTCGTTCATTATAAAAATGAACTGAAATGGCCATAATGAGGTCGTTGTATGCATTGGAACGAATGCGTGGCATACGCAAGTGAATCAGTGGAAGCGTGTAGTGTCATAGGGGGCTCAGCATTTAACTGGTGAAACAACGAGAAGCAATTTACATTATTCCAATGGAACTGTTAGAAATAGTAGGATGGATCACTCAGATAACTACAGTAGCTATGTTTACAACTGGCATGTAAGTACACGAGTATATATTTTATGTATATTGGATTATTATTATCAGTCGGTGTTCACCGTGTTTTGGTTTTTGGACAGGATACTGGATATCCTTGTTCCTATATTAGCATCGCAACTAAATAATTATATATACAGATGAGTACGAAATGCTGGTATTTCAATGACCGGTTGTACATGAAGCTGCTTCGTCTGAAGTGTAATAAGGGGGTGTATGACCCCACCCCCTCTCTTTTCCCAAATATCCTAGCACAATATAAACAGGTATATACAGTATACCAGACAGTCAGTGCTCAGGTAAATTCAGCTACACGGCCCAGGCTATGTGCTAATGTTCATGTATTTTTATACATGGAATGGGTTAATATAATGAACTTGGGCTGCATTTGAGGTCGTTTGCTGAAGATAAATACCAGTAGTACTAGTACATATTGCCAATCTTTTGATGTCATAACATATTGTTTGATTAATTATTTTTCATTAATTTGTACTTATTAGCCCCGTATGCTGGTCAATGGTAAAAACAAAGGATGCTCGTCATGTACCATACCCATTTTTTCTGCTTGGAGATATTGGGTAAGATTTTGTTGATATCCTTTTCAAAAATAAAAACAGGTGTGTTTAATGACAGAGCTAGAGTCCTTTTTAAGCTAGGAGTAGTAAGTAACATGTCATATGTTAAATATAAATGAAATAAGAAGTCTTCATTATTATATGAAAATGTTAAAGATAAACTAGTGACTGAATGCCACCATTTTGGGTGTACATTTTGTAAGTTTTGCATTTATTCACTCAGCAGAACAGCTATCAAAACAGTTCCAATGGCAAAGTAGACTTATGTATGGGGAACACAAAACAATGTTCCATATTTTGTCCAGATTTCATTACTGAAAATGGTATATAAGGTTTTTACTAAAGGTGATTTGTCTGTTAAAACTGATAAAATTCTGAAGATCAGTCTTCATCAAAATATTTGGTATTCATTTGTCCTTCATGAATATGCTATTTCATTTACAGCTGCTAAAGATTTCATAAATTAATTGTAAAAGAGTTAGTTGAAAACCATTAACTATTTTGTTAATGTAGAAAGATTATATTAAGACTGGGTTCCCACAGATTTAGATCGATCCATCCATCTGGATCGACCTAACTCGCTGGGGGTTCACACTAAATTGCGCCAAGTGCACACAAAAGTTAATTACCCATTACAGCTTTTAGTAGGTGGGACAGACATTTAAGCCGGTTAACTGACAGCAATCTAGTGAGACTCCCCAGGGGGATAGATCAATCTAAATATCTGTGGAAATGGTCTCTAAGACAGATTAGCAAATAAGCTGCTATTGCATGTAATGATTAGACAGACATGGTGATTATTTATTTCCTTGCAAAGAATGTGGTTCAGGAAAAGACTTAAATATTTATTGGTTGTAGATTTGTGACATGGATTGTATAACTTTTAAATGGCACATGTGCTGATGTTTATCCATATATGAATACAATTCATTGTTCTATCACATTTCTATTACAAGATGCTACACCCTTTCTCTTTCAGTAACATATGTTTCCTTGTGTATGGATTGATGGTGAATGATAGCATCCTGATATCATTGAACTTGATCGGTGCTGTTCTGAATACAGTGTACATTTTTGCATATATATCTGTAGTAAGCTCCAAGGTAAGAGTTTTACAATGTGAGTACAAAGAAAGCATTAATTATATTCAGTTGGAAAACATTGAATGAAGTCTTTACTGTTATCACCTTGTTGACAAATTTGTATTTTTAAAAAATAAATGTTTTTTTAATACATTTTGCTCTCAAGGGATTTTTTTTAAAAAGAAGAGTTATCTTTGCATTAAAAAATAAAATTGTTTTAACATTTTCTGTTTCTAACAGTTCATTTTCTTGGCTGTACTTTCAGAGTCACCCTATACAGATGTTGATAGGCGGTGTGATTTACATATGCGGACTATTTTACTTCTTGACGTATCTGTCACCGCCTGCAGTTTTCGCTCATAGACTTGGATTGGCCACGAGTTTGCTCAATACAGTGATGCTTAGTACACCTCTGTTCTTAGAGATAGTAAGTTGGAATTTTAATTTTTTTACACAATTAACCTGAATGTTTTTTTTTTTTTCCAAACATCATTTTTTTCTGTAAAAATGGCAAATTGGAAAGTTCATTTTTCATTAAAAAAATAGCTTTGATTATTAGCACAGTAAGATTTGACCATTGAAATGTCTTACATTCATTCTACACCAGATAAGTATATTTCATTGTTGACATGCCACTGGTTCACTGCCATACATTTTCTTATTATCTGTTGAATAACATTTTCTTTGGAGATTGTCACCGTTGGCATGCATGGACAGTTTAACATTATCCTTAATCTTTGAAAATATTTTATCTTGCAAATGTAGAATAATGCACATAGTGAATAGGATAATATGTAATTTGGTACATTTATGATCATCCCTTTTATACATGTTTACTGAAATTACAATGTGGCTACAACCTGTGTGACCAAAAAATAACTTTATATTATTCTCGTTTAAACTATGCTTCAATTTTTTCTTGGGATTAATATTACATAGAAATGAACCATTAGATTGTCAATTTAAGCTTGCATATAATATAATGACATAATTTTGTATACGTTTTTGCAAAACAGTCCTGCAATTTTCAGATGTGATTTTATTGTTTGTAACATAATGGTAACAGTAGATCTGTGCATTTTGAGAACTACATGTACATGTATAATGTTGACATGTGTAGATAAAACTTATGCAGTGCATTATGTTACCTCTGGGCATGCATAAACTGTGACACTTAAATTATTACATAAGCACAATAACTGGTACATGTCCTGTTTTCATTATCTTTTCATAGCCACAGCATCTGAAGGAAAAGAGCACAGAGGGTATGTCGATGGCCATGTTAATAGGGACTATTGCTTGTGCCTCCTCATGGACCTCCTACGGACTGTTGGTCAATGACCCTTTTATATATGTATGTCATTTGCATCTTTCTGGATTTTTTTTAGCTTGAATAAGTGATAAAATAAGAAATAAGGATTAAATAAGAAGAGGAAGGGGTTTAATATTCATCATAACTTTTTTGAAAATATTTTCTTCCTAAATCAAATAAGTTTATGTTATCTTTATGCTTGTCAAGTGCTTATGCTTATGGAACATGTAAGATACTCTTGATAATGTTTAGGGATGTCTTCCACATAATTCTGTATTTTACTATCAGCTGAATCAATTGTTAATTGAAAAAAATTTGAGAATGATTCTATTTTCTTTCAGATGCCCAATGTGCCTGCTATACTAGGAGCAGTTGGAAAGATAGGATTGTTGGTGGTGTATGGGATGCCTGGAAGTAAGACCAAGGCAGAGTAATACAGAAGATAACTGTGAAAGGACACACACAATATACTGCTTTAAATATTATATTTTGCTTTATTGCTTATTTCATTGCATTTATACATAGCTGTTTGGTATAGACACTGCATCAAGAATCATGTTTTATGTATTGTAACATATTGCACATAATTTTGCTATCAGATATTTTATCTATAAGCAAGGATGTTTTGCTGTCAATCCAAAACATCCTGAAAACAAGATTACAGTTTTACCTTATTGTTTGAAGATAAAGATATGGGTTGTTTACCCATGATTACAATGTAAGCTTTGTATAAGGTTTTTAATGACACTACAATGTTAGGAATATGTTTCATAAATACTGTGGAAAATGTTTTTGACTTTTTAATGTTGGTATCTAATGTTCTGAAATTGCCAGGCAGTTTTGTTTTATATTGAATATCTGAAATCATCATTGATTAGGTTGCTGAATTAAAACAGTTTATAATGTTTCATGTTGTGCTATGTATTCTGAAGACAAACTATTTATAGTTAACACTGGATTTTTTCTTACTTTTGAAAGACTCTTATTTATTTATTATTTTATTTATTATTATTTGAAAGATTTAAAAGTGTGTAATTTGGCAGTGTTTCTGGAAACTTATTTAAAAAGAGAAAAGTGCCATATACTGAGAATATATATTTGAAAGTTGAAAAGCACTTGGAGAGTCAAAGCAATCTTTGATCATTTGTTTAGTTCATCAATTAGTGAATTAATAATCTCATTTCTTATTATCATTAATTATCAATTAACTGATTAATTAGCTAAATTTTAATTCACAGATTAATTGGTTGGCTAATTAATAAACTTATTAGTTAACTAGTTAATGAAATACAAAAGAAGTCCATTCAAAACCTATATTCTTAAAATTTTAAAATCAAGTTTTTTTTTCAAATGTTTTCAGACAGTATGCAATAGTCTGATCAGAATTTTTTTCTTTGCTAATTAAAACTTACACATTACATTTCATATGAAATATTTATGAATAGCCTGTTATAAGCATTTAACTGCTAATAATTAACATTTAAAATACTTTGACCAATGTTGGGGAATTCTGCCTTCAGCAGCAATATTCTTTTGTAAGATAATCTTAATGGACTAGATCCATCCCATGACGACAGTGTTCCAAGGTCAGGATAATTTATCCAGTGCCAATTTAAATTTAATCAAGAAATTGAAATCTTCCATTTGAAATGTAAGTATGTGAATGGCCAAATAACTTTTTTGCCAAATTGTTGACACCTTTTAGAGATCTTGTATAAAAATAGGTTTAGCATACAATAGGTATTAGCCATATTAGCAATATCAGTGAAGCATGTTCTGGTCACAACTGTTTTATATAAAAGCAAATCCATGAATTCTACAACTTAATATGTCAAATTATTTGCTTCAGAAGCCAATTTAGTGTATTTAAAGCAAGTATATCACAAGACAATTTTAATTTGTATGTAATAGCACTTTGTTTATTTGGTTATTACTCCACAGGTCTAGTATTCAGACAATTTATAATTTCTTGCTACTACAAACTTTTATTATTATTATTATTATTATTATTATTATTATTATTATTATTATTACTTGAATGCATTTATCTGTTCAATACAAAATGCATCAGTTTTATTTTCAAAATTATTCATACTAATGTTGGAAAATTTGGGTAAATAAATGTTAGAAAAAAAGAAGTTTAATACTATGTATTTGTTGAAACTCATATAAATCACTGAGTCATATCTTTATCCCCGAATATTCCCACTGACATGAACGTTCTAAAAGGTTTGAGAGGAAAAATACCAGTACAAAATTATTAACGTGAGGAGCACGTCCATCGTGCGACTTTTGGAGAACGTAAACGGCGCATAGAAACTTTTCGCCAATGCAATCAGTTTAATTGTCTGGCATGCCCCCTCGCGAAGCAACATGAACTACATCATGATCCACAAAGATTTTCGACTTTACCCAAGTTACGATAGTTGTGACAGTCATTTAAGCCGCTTAAACTGAATGCAAGGAGGTAGATTGATCCAGCTAGTACGATAGGGTTATGGGCACGGTCCCTTAAGGGTAGGAATCCGGGGGAAGGTGGGGTAAGAAATTCGAAACATCAAACATCTGTTTAAATTTTTCGAACCACATGAACTAAAATTTCGGTCTTTTTATCCTTGAAAGAATTCCATGGACATGATTTCGAGGTTAGGAAAGAAGGCTACGAAAAATGTCAACCTCTTAGTGTCTATGATTATACAAAATTTACCAAACTCTTAATTTTGCTGTTCGCTTGTATCTCCATAGATGAATATTTCATTAAATAAGCTGAAAATGGTTCTTGCTTTTACTATATGTTAGTTTTCACTCTGTCAAAATCGGCATCTAATCTATTCAAATTCTATCAAACAAACAAACCAAAAAGACATTTCACTTATAAGCCACTTTTTAGATGCCCTTTTAGAATTTCATATTCTCTTCTTTTGTCGTTCATTTTTAGTGATTTTTTTTTCATTCATGACTAATAACAAAACTGAATTGTGATTTATATACACTGTTGAATTCACGGCCCTGCAAGGGGGATCACAGCTGTCATACAGGTTTTCCAGGTGAAACCCCCCCCCCCCCCTTCATTCACTCACAGTTTAATTAACAAACATAAGTACACACTTTTACCATACACTTCTCTCCTCTGCGGGCATCGAACCCAAGACTCCAAGTTAGAATAACCGCCGCGCCACCAACTCGGACACATATTTAATTATACACATTGGTATATTAAATTGTACTCAGGTCGACATAATATTATGCATGTCTCTTTTTGTACAATAAAGTCTTGTTTCAAAATGAAATAATATTGCAATGGGTTGTATATTAAATCTTTTAGTCAAATTGGATATTCTAATAATACTTTTAATCAGCCAAATGTCATGAAAATTTAAGAAAGTGGCGGAGATACTACATGTATATCGTGTGGTAACGTCTACCAACTTAAACGGAGTAGATTCGACGCCCCGGGATTAAAACAATTCTTTTAAATGGTTTCATATTCACAATAAATAAAAGTTAACAGAAAATATTTTCAAACTTTTACTTTCTTACTTATACAAATACTGGAGCGTGAGCCGTGCACCTACTTACATGTACAAGATCCTTGCATCCCGCCGCTTTGGGCCCTGTCTTCAAACTTTTCAACCAGCTAGAAGGGACTCTCATAGAGGGCTCTAAAACCCCCCAAGAGAAATTTTGAAAAACGAATTGGCTGTTAAGATAAGATAAGATAAGAGTTTATTTAGCCAATTATAAAAATCGGAAATCATTTTCCTTTTGGAGCAATATACAGAGTAAAATAATAAAATAATACAATAAATAAATAAATTAAGAATTTAGTTTTGAGATCAAATTAATTAAGTTGCTTTCTTTATACTGAAAACCACCCAAACGTAATATAGTCTGATATCACAAGACTCCGTCGAGGAGAAATAAATGAACTGAAATTGAAATTGAAATTGAATTGTCATCTTTGTTCAATTAGGTTTACATATAAAGGGTTCAACATCCATGAACATTGAACTCCGATATTTTCAATGGAGAAGCCTGCACTCAGATCACACACGACAATGAGCCAAACTTACGTATAAGATTTTTTTTCATGTTTTTTCACGGCAAAAGCCAGGCCTTATATTTAATTTTATTATAGCCTACTTGGTCCTACATGTTTTTAAATTGGGTAGGCCTACGTATCAGTTCGTGTGACTACTGTAATGTAGACCCGTCCGAGCACAGAGCACCAGTCGGATTTTTCCAATTTTATTTATTTATTCTTATTTTTTGTTTATTTTATTTTATTTTAGTTATTTTATATTATTATTTTTGTGGGGAATGGGGGTAACAAAATATTTGTCGGTCGTCGCTCACGTTTGACCGTAAAGTCTAGTGGAACTAAATGCTCCTTTCATAGTCCGCTGAGCATTGTTTGAATGCAAAGTACTTTGAATGTAGGCGGCAATATAGGTCAAGCCAAAGTAGGGCGAGAAGCGAAGATTCATGAAGATTGGAGTGCTGCAACAACATTTTACTCTGCTTATTGGGAAGGTTAGTGTATTTTAGTGACACGAATTCATATTTACTTTTCAGTCAGATGCAGAAATATAATTACTTTGTACCGACTCTGTAGGAATAGTAGGAATATGTGAATCTCACCCAAACTCTCCATCTCAGGATTACGGTTACATGTATGACAAATGTACCTTGATCGGTCTAAAATGGACAGTATGGGCTAAGCATATGATGTGTAAATTAGATGAGAAGGGTCGAGCAACGAGAAAGCTGGGGTGTGTTTACAAGCTCCAACAAACATATATGCAGTACGTGGAGAATGTACATTCTTGTTATCATGCATGTGTGTCGGGCGCGCGCGTCTGTGTGTGCTAGATACACAAAGTAGGTTGAGTTAGGCCGAAAACTGAGGCAAAGTATTGGCATTAGAAAATTACATGATGTCTGGTGTAAAATGTGTAATTAGATATAAAAACAATTTAACATATATATATGGACGAGATCGAGGGCGCAGGTTGCTCATTACATCACTTACAGGTTGCACTATAGGGAGGTGTACAGTGGTTTACAGAGAATCAAGTGCACTGATTATCTAATGCTCGGAGGTCCAGGATATGAAGGAGGTGGGGCATTTTAGCCCACCTCCATGCATAAGTGGCATATATAATAGGGCTGCATGTACCTTATTAGATGGTATAATTTAAACCATAGTAATTAAGCCTGAGACCCTACATTCTTGCTTTTGTATGTCAAGTTTTTTCATCTCATCTACATTTAAGGGTGCTTTCCCAGAGATTTAGATCGATCTAAAGATTAAGTTTTAGATCGACCTAACTCCCTGGGGGTTCACGCTAAATTGCAGTCAGCCAAGCGGGCACCATAGTTAATTACCCCCTTACAGCTTTTAGTAGGCGGGACAGACCCTTAAGCCGGCCAAGCTGACAGTAATCTAGTGAGACTCCCCACAGGGATAGATCGATCTAAAAATCTATGGAAATGGGATGTAACAGTGTTTAACTTTGTGAGGCACAGAAAACAGTTGTCTTAATCCTTATTTTTAGTTTCTGGAGTTTAATAATAGAGATTGCCCTCTGTTAACTACCTTAATTAAGGCTCATTCCCATTGAAACCAGGGGCGGATCCAGGATTATTTGAAGGGGGGTTCGGGCCCCGCTGAAGGGTGAACAGTGCCATTTGGTATGGTTTAGAACTATGATTCAGCTAGTCAAAATGCTAATTACAAGAGGGGACCAGAAATTGAAGGGACGGTCAGTTCCCTCCTGACCCCCCCCCCCCCCCCTATAAATCTGCCACTGGAAATAATGGGTCTACGTAAAGGATGAGGTGTATGTAAAATTGATTGCATTCAGCAAGAGTCCCTGCAGAGTTGGATCTATCTACATGTATGTAGACCAATGGTTTCAATTGGAATGATCTTTTATGCTTGCATCTGATCCTCATAAGGCGTCTGTAAGCAAGTTAGTCGTAGTGACTGGACCTTGGACATAGAGTTGTATTCGGGGCCCATATAATTTTGCATGGTTTTTCAAGTTCTTCTGTTGTTGCCTTGCATCAATAATTAAGCCAGCTGAGACAGACATTTGTAATTTTATGCTTCTATACATAGTTCATGGTTAATTTCTACAAAACCCTGTAGACTCTCACTGTGTGGGTCTGTCCATCTTGCCATCTATCTATGTATCTCCCTCTCTGTTTATCTCTCACTCTCCCTTTTAAATCTTAATTTCCATTTTAAATAAACTTCCAAAGCTGACATGCATCCTGTCACATCATATCTGTGTAAATTAAAACATAACTGTAGATACATTTGAAATAAACCTACTATTTTCTTTCAATTACTGGTTGCATTTTGAATCAAGTTTAACAGCTGACATGCAACCTGCCAAATAGACATAGATCTGAATATATTGAAACTTAATTGTAGAAACATTTTAAATTAACATGCTATTTTCCATCAGTTACAGATTGCTTTTTATGGAAATTAATTATGTCTATAAATATATCTCTAAATCATACATATATAAGTTATTATGACTATTGGAGGTTCTCTAAACTAAGGAGGTTTTAAAAATTACTTTTTAGCTACAAGCACATGGAATCAACTATTAATTAAAGTGGTATACTAATTTGTTGTAAGTAATTTATATTGCCCATGTGCCAAACTGAAGGAGCAATTTGTATGTTCAGCATACATGCATGTAGAATACATCAAACATGTAGCAGGCCCATAGCCAGGGGGGTTCGGGGATTCGAAAGAACCACCTTTTTTGCTGGAAAAAGGTCCACCCTGGGTAAAATTTGGTCTATGTACTTGCGGATTTTATGGTAAAAGGTCCACTTTTTCAGAAAACAACCCCCCCCCCTCTGAAATTGCTGGCTACGGGCCTGTGTAGTGCATTTCATTCCACCCTTGGTATCATTTATCAGAATAATTATACAATTCATGAATAGTCCACTTATTAACGTCAAGGACCCTTGTCAGAGACATTATTTGATATGTGAATAGTTAGTACATGGTGTGTAGGGGACCTTCAAGCTTAGAAAGTTGAGGTGGGTTTAATTGTAGTTGAAGTGAAAAGCAATATAATGTCATGAATTTTTCTTCAAATGATATTCAAATTAATGTCTTTTCAGCTTCTGTGAAATGTGGTCTGAAGTCCTTTTTTCCTCCATTGCTGGAATAGCAGGAGGGCTGTTATTTGTGCACTTCAAATGGCCATGGGTGTGGAAGGATCTGTCTTACATCATACAGATGATCAAGAGTTTGAAGAAGTTTGAGTACTGCGTCAGAAACCAGATGATGATTGCTGACGTTTTTGATGACCAGGCTGCTAAATTTCCCAACAAACCAATGATTGTGTTTGAGGTGAGAGTTGATAAGTAAACAGTTGACATTGAGGTTATACCTTCAAAATAGTAGCTGTTATTTGATGGATTATAACTGTTGGATTAGATTAGATTAGATTGTATATAAGTTCGGTGTATGTATTATTAGTATTTGGAGAAAGCGTCATTTGTTTCAAACATTATTTCAGGATTTATGATTTTTATTTACTCTTTAAAAACAAACACTTTTTGACTTAAGCTTCAACCTACCTTTCCATTCAAAATTTTGTTAAAAGGAACTTATTTTTGTTATTTAAGAAGTTTAAACAAACCAGTTTTTTATTTATTCATTTTATTATCTTTAATTGGCACAGAGGCCTCTAATTTAACTTTTATCCCAATCTAGTGAGAAATTACAGTAAGAAATGCCAAATATGCATGGGTGTATTATGTTTCTGAAGATATAAATAAAACTTTTTATGTGTGTAATATGGATTCATACAATGCTTAACAGATAACAGAAAATTGTATGGAATCTGATTGTGCTATGGTCTTTACAGGGCAAAGAGTACACGTGGTCCTACGTGAATGAACAATCCAACAAAGTAGCCAGACTGGCCGAGGAAGAATGGGGCTTGAAGTGTGGTGACACTGTGGCCATCATGATCTACAACGAGCCTGAATTTATTTGGACTTTTATAGGTGAGGTGACATTCTAAAACGCCATTATTTATTTTTGCTTTTATGTTACACTTTGCAAAGGCTATTTTTCACTTCAGAAGAAACTAAGTATGAAAACAGTACCCCTTTTAAAAACACAAAACCTCTAAAGCTTGAATCTCAGTCGATTTCTGTTGTTATACAAAATCTAATTTCATTATATATATATAGATAGATAGATAGATAGATAGATAGATAGACAGCCAGATAGATAGATAGATAGATATGATATAAAAGTGTCATCAAATTATTATAATATTATGTATCAGGATTACTGAAGATTGGTGTTGGCGTTGCCCTCCTTAATCACAACCTGAGAGCAAAGTCACTGGTGATGTGTTTCACAAGAAGCGAGGCTAAGATTCTTGTTATTGGTAAAGGTAGGTAAACAACGTACATTATGCAACAAACAAAGTGTATGGTTAAAGGCTGTTTTTGGTCAAATACTTTCTAACTGCATAACGTTTTCATGTTGTTTATGGAAATTGGTGATTGTTTTTTTTTTTTTTTTTTTTTTTTTTTTTTTGGGGGGGGTGGTCACTCATGAGTCAGTGATTGTATGTGTATGTAATAGTTTTTCATGTAAATTCCTTGAAGGTGATGAACTTCTGAAGGCTGCTCAGGATGTGCTGCCAGACTTGAAGAACAATGGAGTTTCCATCTTTGTACAGGGGCAAACACAAGAGACATTACAAGATGGGTTTAAGTCGTTTGATGATTTAATGTCCAGGACTTCAAATGCTGCCATTCCAAAGAGCAGGAGAAGTGGCTTAAAGTGGAATAGTCCAGTGTGTTATATTTATACCTCGGGAACAACAGGTAGGAAGATGTTTGCTATTGTTTTGATTTGAAAACTGACAATGTCTCAGTATGAATGAAAAGATTTATGCTGTTTATTTTTTTTTTCATTTTATTTATTTATTTTGTTTCATGTATGTCAGGATATGCTCTCAACCACCACAATTTATCAGTGTTAAGTATGGATATTGTGCATTGTTTTGTAGACAATAACATCAGCCAAGAGGGCTATGTAATTGAGTCAATTAATCAATTAATTGATAAACTAATTAATAAGTAATAAATGTTAATAACAATTAAATTGTGGTTTGGAGGTTTGCACTCTCTAAGTGCTTTTTTAAGTTCTTGTAATTTTTAAATAATTTTTTGCAACTATTTTGGTCTTGTGGACACAATCAGTTGGTTGATTCTTTTGAAAAGAAACTTGCTAAATTTATTTTTAAAAATTAGATAAGTTTGCTCTTCTTTTACGGTTTGTTTGTGTGTCCTACAAATCTTATTCTTATTGTTGGGAAACCATGAGTGTTTGAAAACAAGGTCTCATAGTGTCCTAGAATAATTATGATGCTCTTGAAAATGTTATTTTTCATTGCCAATACATAATATTGTCATAGAAAAGAAATATTGCTAGAATGATGACTGTTAAGTAAGAAATTCCATCATTTTTCCCCCATTAATAAAAAACACCATAAATCTTAATGCGTCTGTCAATTCAACTTATATTTTGTAATAATGCAGGTCTCCCAAAACCAGCAGTGCTTGGACAGTACAGGTTCTTGAGGGGTTCATTCATTTTGCCTGTTGCTGGATTCAGTCATGATGACAGAGTGTACACTGCACTTCCCCTCTATCACAGCTCTGCATGCATTATAGGTCTAGGTGGAGTGATCACTGAAGGTAAACCATTTTTAGTTGGAATTATTTAGAGATAATTCTAACATGTAGAGCTACATGCTAGAATAATTGGTTTTACTTCTGGTCAAGTAGTTATCGTCCAAGATCATTTTCAAAACTATGGTGAATTGAAAAGCTAAATGTATATGACAATTAGCAGAAAAATTAATGTATTAGAAAATGCAAAGATGCCAAAGTTAGTGTGAGGATAGGATAACAGTCCTAAGCCTAACTTCTAGTAGAGGCCACAAATTGGTCCACAGATTTTAAGATGCTTGTTGAAAATTAAATGTTTTATTATCAGAACCATGATGCAGCCAAATTGGGAGCAATGGAAAAGTGCTGATTTGACACAAAATATATATTATCATATAATTAAAGAAAAAGCTTTGAAACAGTAATCTATCTATCCACAAACTGTATGTGTATATTGGTTTCACCATTATTGACAAAACATGGATTATATATTTTAGGAGCCACAATGTTACTCAAAAAGAAGTTTTCAGCTTCTCACTTTTGGGAAGATTGTAGAGAACAGCATGCAACCTACTTCTTGTACATTGGAGAAATATGTCGTTATCTCTTATCCAGACCAAGGGTAGGATATCATTGGGCAGCTGTTATTTTTGTAAAATGTGTAGAAAGTAGATGATCCTAGGTTACATGTACATGTGTATGTGTACAGTCAAACATTCTCATTCACAAAAATTTTTAATAATGGCTGTAAAATCATTCATCATCATTAATGAAATGACCAACAGTAGGCATGGAGAGTAAAGTAAAAAATGCACCTTTAAGTACTGAAGTGGAGATTCATTGAAAATTGATTCTAGGAAATGTAATGCTGTCATGTGAATTAAACTGTCATGCACCTCAATTAAAATTAAGAAACAATACCTGTCTAGATTTATGAGTTTGTATATGCTGTATCTATTTTTTTAAGCATCCAGATGATGCTAAACATTCCATCCGCTGTGCAGTGGGAAATGGACTGAGGGCAGATATCTGGAAGGAATTTCAAGAGAGGTTTCAAATTCCAAAAATTAATGAATTCTATGCATGCACTGAGGGGAACGTGGGATTCTTCAACTTGTTCAATAAAGTTGGGGCTGTTGGAAGATTGTCACCAATTCTGGTATTGTATATTTTCAGTACAATATTATGTGTGGTTTAAGCTGTGAGTTTTGTCATATGTATGTTGTATGTAAGTGGTTTTAGGCGAGGTGTAAGACTTTCTAAAATGGTACTAAACCATACATTTATAGATGATATATTTTATAAACAGTTTAGAAAATTCATTTTTTGAAGAATTAAATGTTATTGTTGTCAGAGAAATAGAGGTAATCAAGCTTTTTCTCAGTATATTAGTAAATGATGAAATTGTGCTACATATCTGTAAATGCATGATTGCTAAAAAATAATCTGTGATTCTCCCTTTCACATACACACTTAACCTTTTTTTTCATACGGCATAATTTGAACTTCATTAGCACTATAATGATAATGTTACTCATTGATAATAAGGTTTGCAACACAGACATTTATGAATTTTTTAAAATCTTTATCCAGAACAAAAATTAATCCAAGGTCTTTATTTTCAGCATGTGTTCCAGAAAGCATATTTGGTCAAATTTGACATTGAAAAGGAAGAGGTGATTAGAGATGAGAATGGTCTCTGCATTCCAGTAGGTCCAGGTAAAATAAGATGAATATGGAATTGGAAATGAGGGTTTGATGATCACCCATCACTTGTTTCCTAAAGATATTGCTCAAATTTCCAAAGGCATTTTTTGCATTGAATTTTTTTTTATCAAGGGACATTATTAACTAAGATCAATACATTTGATCTTGTTTAGTGTTTAGTAAAACTGTCATTAATTATCTATGGAAGTTTAGAATAAGCATGGTAAAACTTTGATAATTTCAAAAAAAGAATATAATAATATAAATAAAAATGATCTTGCCAGATGCCCCAGGACTGTTGATTGGTGAAATCAGTAAAAGACAGATATTTGAAGGCTACAAGGGAAAAGAAGAGCAAACAAAGAAGAAAATCCTGCATGATGTTTTTAAGAAGGGTGATGCATACTTCAACAGTGGTGATCTGCTTTACTATGATCCAGAGTATTATCTCTACTTCAGTGACAGAGTTGGGGACACCTTTAGGTAAGCAGGGGCCCAGAATATTACATCTTGTGAAACTTGTAAGAAACATTAAATAAAAGATCTGGGACAGAAAAATAATTAGCACAATGTCTGTTCCACAGCTCTTACAGTCAATGCCTTTTTGACCAACAAACTAAAAAAATGTGTTTATTTGGAACGCTGGGCTGTCACATGAATTCCTCACATTCACGTTTACTAAAAAGTACAAGTTTTTAGCAAAGGTTGTTAAAATTTTTATTCCTTGAACAGAATATAACACATACCAGTTAAGGGGTGCTACAAATGATTTCTTAGAAAGACAGAAAGATTTATGATAGTAGCATGGAAATATTAAGAAGACCCTAAAGACTACATCTTTACTACATGCCAGCTGTTTTCCTTTCAATTTAACAGATGGAAGGGTGAGAATGTCTCCACAACAGAAGTGAGTAATGTCCTGGCTGATGTGGAGGGAATAGAAGATGCTTGTACATATGGAGTGCCAGTCCCAGGTGTGTTAACCAGATACTGACATTTTAACTTTCTTGACAGGTGTAAAGAAAAATGAAAATGTTTTACAGTTTTATACCCTATTCTCTCAAAATTGTACAAGAATGTACAAAATGGATAAATTGATATGGCAGATAACCAAGCTTACCTAGCAGAATTGTGTCTACATATTATGTTAAGTTTGTTTAGGGCTCAGTTATCTCCAGTAACTATCTCCATCTTGAACAGTGATCATCAGCCAAGTTACCAAAAAAAAAATGAATTTCAAATCTATTTGGTATTGGACTTTGCTTTTTCTCCTTTCTCAGGTCATGATGGTCAGGCTGGCATGTCAGTCATAACTCTGCAGGGCACAGGCCGGGTCTCATCTGGTCTTCTCAAGGTGTTGTACACTCACTGCACAGAACTGCTGCCATCTTATGCCAGGCCCCTCTTTCTACGCATCCAGCCAGAGTTGGTGCTCACATCTACCTTCAAACAAGTTAAAGGAGAGTTCAAGAAACAAGGCTTTGATCCTGATGCTGTGCCTCACCCTCTCTATTTTTTGGATGCCACCAAGAAGACCTATGTGCCTTTGACAGGGGAGCTGTACAGGGACATCATTAGTGACAAGATTAGAATATGAATTGCTTATTACGACCCTCTGATTGAGTGATTGGTTGATTGATTAAATATGCAGAATATTTTTACTTTTTGTTCAGGGTTTTTTCAGGAATACCAGTGGATGTTTTAGATTTTTTTCTAAGATCTGTTTTTATTTTTGATATTGAAATCTAAGTAGTATATTTGAAATTGTATATCTCAGTAGTATAACTCAAATTATAGATTTATACAACATTTGTAATTATATCCCTACAAATGTTTGCACAACCCATTAATTATCAGTATATCTTCATTCACTGAGACTTTTCCGACTTTAGTCAGCATTAAGACTTTTTCAGGGTTATGTGGATCATTATTGTGAATTATGTAAATCTGGTGAATTGTGTAAATCTTACATTTTTAGTGAGGACTGGTCACATGCCAGTTCATTCCATTTCCCTATATCGGAGCATGTACTTAAGAAAATAGTGTATCATCAGCATTACTCCATTGAGCACTATTCAGGTTGTTTTATTTTTCAAGTTATTACATGTGCAGGAAGTTTAACAAGATGGAAAATATTCAATATTTTTAGTAATGATGCTTGCTGTATAATACAGCAGCCTGGAAATCAGGAATGCCCTCATAATTTCCATTACAAGGGGCTCTATTGTAAACTGACAAGTAAGTTGAATGTAGGCACATCATATCTATGGAAGTTACTCCCATGTGATCAATGTACTCCTTTTACAAGGTCTATTTTATAACCATAATTTTAGGTTGCCATTTTTCCTGTTTTCATTCAATCTAGACTTAATAATTTTGTATATGAACTAATAGACCATGGTCTCAAGTTAAATAAACTCTACAAAATAATCTACTGGAAGGCAAACTGGTGTGCAAATATTTTTACTTCTAATATTCAAATAGTTTTTTTTTAGTTAAAACTCAATTTTACTCATGCACTAATGTATGTATATACATGACTATCAGATCAGTGGGCAGTGAGGTTTAGGAGGCCCAAAAGAATTGCCTTTTTGGTCAGAAAAGGTCCCACCTAACTCAAAATTTGATCTACATTTCTATACTTTTTGTCATATTGGGCCATCAAAGAGGGGGGTAAAAAGATCAACTTTTCGGAAAAAACTTTTGAAATTACTGTCAACAGGTCTGACTCTTTGCAGTAGCAGTTGAGACAAAATGCCTGGTACATTGAAATATAATACACACTTATGCTATCAACATCCATGCATACTATAAAGACGGTCTTGTACCCATCATACATGAGCACTATTCAGGTTGTTTTATTTTTCATGTTATTACATTTTTCATGCTATTACCCAAGACTCAGCTAATAGTTCTCAATTACTGGCAACAAATCACAGTTTTTTAAATACTTGACTCAATTTATTTTGTTTGGTTTTCTGTGTCTAACAATCGTCCTGTGTTTGTGTATAGTGCTTTAATTATGTGTACTCTCAGTGGAGGGAAATAATCGTTAGACCTAGGATTACCACGGGGGATTTTCTGTGGATGAGAGCAACTTACTTGGTTTTCCTAACTGTGCCAGTAGAAATAAAGTGTAAGATATATACAGGTCATTTCCCGTAAAGAGTTGGTCAAAATGGAGATTTGTTAAATTGAGGACTGAAACTATTTTATTTTTTAATTTTTTGTTACTTTTGTACAATCATCTTTGAATCCATACAAACCAAGTAACCAAAAAAATGTTACAATATTCAAAGCGGCGGAAAATAAAAAGGAAAAAAAGGAAAAGCAATAATTTTATTAAGCATTTCAACAATTGAAATTATAACTTTAAAGATTGTAGAAATAAATTGAAAGATAAAAACTCATTTAATGTGTATTATTATACTGATCAGTTATATGAAAGGTCTTGGAGAAACATTCATTTGGTTCTGTCTTGGCATTAAAGAAAATCGGGTAATGGTAATAAGTTCAGTTTTGGCAGTTACGGTGACGGCTTGTGCAGACAGCTACGCATTCTTGGCTTACAGGTACACTGTGAAGTTCAATGGCTGACGGTCCCGGCCAAGCAATGACGTTGCCCTGGCTACACCCTTCAGTCGGCACGTCAATGACTCGGTCCCACACATCAATGGATGCAATATCTCCTTTGAAAGCATCCCATATCTGAAATCCACCGCCAACAGCGTCTTGTTCCTGACCACCCACCCACACTCCGTCTGAAATGTGAAGCATTAAAAAAACGCCGGTTTTAAGAGGCATTCAGTTGAGAATTCTTAAACTTATCAAGCACCTTGCTTACATATATTTTTAATATGTTGTGCATATACCAAAATAACAAGACGTAAAAACGGCCACAGTTTAATTTGTTGAAAACTGCTACAAAGTCACTCCTAAGACAAAACCTTTCTGGCAGCAGTCCTGCACATAATATACTGTATTAGCTATTTGACGACCCACCTGGTTTACGGTAGCCTCCCTTCAATATTCCAGACCCGTGGTTTTTCACAATATTATCGACGAGGAATTGCCAGTTGCCTTCCCCATTTTCCCACGTAATACAGACAGAATGCCATTTTCCATCGGCAAGATTTGCAACATACGGATTTCTGTTCAAATACAAATCAATCCTAGACAATCCTAAAAGCTGGCCGGCCGGGTACCCGTGGATCCTTATGTGATTGTGATCGTTTTGGACAGCGTGAGAAAGGAGTCCACCGAATATGTTGGTCTGTGTTCTTATGGTAACACAAATGGTCATCTCAACCATCGCTCCAGTTGACAACGGTTTCAGTACTGCCCAGTTGGTAGTGGAATTTCCAGAAAAACGAAGGACCGAGGTCTTCGGTATGGCTGGACCTAAACACCCAGACGTATAAACGCAGTCTAAGATTATCTCATTTTAAAAAATTTCCCACGCTTAAGCATTGAACTATTTTTACGTATTGTAAGTATCAAACCATGTAGTTTCTTATAAAAATCAGTCTGAAAGAAATTACAGTTCAGGGAGAGCTACATAAATTAATAACACCAACCTTTTGACAGTTGTCATAATCATTTGTTGTGTATTCGGATATATTTAAAAATTAAGGCTTTTGATAAATACACCACCCCCTCCCCCCCCCCAAAAAAAAAAACAAAAAACAAAAAAAAAACATTGTGATGTATAGCTCTTTTTCCACCAACTATACCTCATTGATTGATTGATTGATTCATTCATTGAAAAGCATTACCTCCACCTTTCCCAAACGTGTTTTCAATATAATTTCTTATTCGCCGACAACTTTCTTCTTTTTGATTTTAATACCTTTGAAAGCAGTTTTATATATTGTTCTTTTACCTGTGATGCTGCTGTTGAGTTGGTCCAGCTCATGTCGAATAAGAGTGCATTTCTTAGATAAATTGGACAGCATATTTTTCATTGTGACCAAACCCAATTCAGTCGCTTGACTCTGCGATTTCAGTGCTTTATTTTGCCTCTTAAGTTCAGCAACTTGGTTGACTAGTTCTGACGCCGTCTCTTTAGTTTCATGTTGTCTGCGACAAGCCCATGGTACTTGGATTGAACGTCCAGAAGAGAAGATGCCAAGGTCAATGGTATGCCCATTTAATCAATCTTTTGCGTGAGATTGGCCAGGATGGCTGCCATATTGTCGTGTACTGATTCTTTTACCATTTGATTTGTACACTGTCCCTGTGGATGGGCAAGGCTGATATGATAGTTACACTGACCATCTCTGAAGCTGCATACTGCATCTGTTTTCCCCTACTGCAGACAATGAATTTTTGTAAAAAAAAACTCAACACAACGAATGCCAACATATACTTCGCCATGTTAAAGTACTATTGTTCAGTAAGCAGACTTTGCCACTACTGTCTAAATAAGCACACGAGTTCACCTACAAGATAAAAGATAACTTATCGTCGATGATTATTTTGGTCGAATTTTAAGTGACGAAAGTTTGCTAGGTTTGATTGCTAAATATTCGTATACCCTGTGTGGCAAAGCCTTTTATTTGTACATTTTCTTTTGTAGTTTTACTTAATCGCATACCCATATCCCTTCCATTCAGTGGAATGAAGATAAAATCTGTTGTTAACAGATAAAATTGTGCCTAAACAAACCCTTTTTGTGTACAAACACGACTCGCGTACTGGTAATTGTGATTTCCTATGATAAAAAAATGATGATTTCTCGTTTGTTTATTCATTTACTAATTTGTCTAGGCCTACCTTTTCATTGAATTTATGAACTGTTTGTCGATTTGTTTATTCAGAAATTGATCTATTTACTCATTCATTTATCTTTCCACATCAGGGGCGGATCCAGGATTATTTGAAGGAGGGATCCGTTTTTTAGGAATGCCAATTAAGCCTCGGATACGAAACCGACCCTCGCTCCCTTGGCCCTGCCACCCCACCCCCCCTGATTCCACCACTGCATATGGTTTTCATCATTTTAACAATCTAATGTCTTAACCACCAGAAAGCGATGGTGTAGATATATAATAGGACTAACAATTATATAAAGCACACACAAGTATTTATTTCATAAAACGACAGTGTTTATTGCTTTATAAATCTTTGCACATCAGAAGTTAAGGCATTTTTCAGAGTCATAATATCTATTACTAATGCACTTATTTCAACTTATTTCATTATATACTTAAAGAAAAAATAATTTTCAAAATACGAATATTTAAACTGTTGTAAACTGTACCCTTTTCCGGACCCACAGATTGATTTTTATTAGATATTCACATATACAGTGTATTTCTTTGTCCAATTCTATGCACTTCTCTGTACCGTCCAGCTAGATCTCCAGCATAAAATTGACGTCATCACTCAGCTAGCCTCTAATAGAGAGCAAAGATACTGAAAGATATAACTGTACTAGCAGGTGTGCGTTGGTAGACTTTTCTCATTAATTTAAATTAAAACAATCAGTTATTACTACGTCTTTTAATTTATGTTCTGTCTCAGTGCCTGTCCTCTGTTACTTATGCCATTAAATTTTCTTAGTAAGAATGCAGACTGGGCAAAGATGACATATCTGGTCACATGCTTTTGGCAGATAACCTGTCGGTAAAGAGATCAAGCAGTTGGGCTGTGCGACACAACGTGGAGTTATCTGGCATCTGTAAAGACATACGTATAATACGGTCAAGAGAGGTTTTCCCATTAGTTTAAATTAAAACTGTTTCAAGTTTTTATCCAAGGAGCCAACTTAATTAATCTTTATTGTAAAATTTTATAATTAAAAATATGCAGTCCCATATCTCAATATTTCTTATGTGATGATATTACTTAAATGGATGATAAATCGATGCAAAGTAACTTGCCATGGTGTAGGCTGACAGATTCGGTTTCTATCTTGAAAAAGATTAATTAAATGAATTAAACAAAATACTTCAAATTAAAAAAAAAAACACGGGAAGCCCGATACGTACCCATCATATTGTGGATATCTATAGACTTCACACACAGGACACTTTTTACATAGTGTACCGTCCGGGTAGAGGTCAGATGGTGTTACTTCCTTGATGCACGATTTTGAAATAGCTTCACACCTTAGGATAGGACACTGAAAAGAAATGTAGGTGCATAACAAGTGTTTGGTATGTTTCATACCAACATGCCAGATCTTAATCCCTATATAAAGCGTTGTAAATTTTAAGTTACCGTGTTGATGGTCATATCGCACACAAAAATTAATAAGTAAATAAATTAATACAGCTAACGCCACTCTAGTTTTCCCAATATAACCATATTTGTATTCAAATGGTTTCTCTATGTTTTACTGATAAAGTGGACAAGACCATAAATAAGAATATAATACAGGCCCGTAGCTAGGTTTTTTTTTTTTTGGGGGGGGGGGGCGGCGGGTTGTCAAAAGAACCATCCTTTATTGCCAGGAAAAGGGCCATTCATTCACTTTTTCAGAAAAGGAACCCCCTTTCGCAATTGCTGGCTACGGGCCTGCAAAAATATAATTAATATGACAATGACTTGTTTGTTTTTCGGTCTAACTGACCCAAATTATATACCAATTTTAGCCATCCAGAGCCACCATGCGCCATCTCGCAAAACCCATTTTGTTCCGAAAACAACTCGTTTTGTTTGCATGTTAAATAGTATTATAATGCTGAATTAAAGACCAACGTTGTTTGGCCGTCTTGACCTTTTCCACTTACCTGCTTTTTTTATGATAGGGGGTGATATAATGGATGAGGAGTAAACAATTTTTTATTATTTCTTACAGACCCTTTGAACGCTATCAGTAATACACTTACCACGGAGTATGTCCCTTTGCTCTCCACTTGAGAAACTAGAAGAAAGAGAGATGTCATAAATGGAATAATTTTAAAATTAAAATTATCATATTTCAGACCCATCCTTTTGTCCTGTGGATACAGGATGTGTCGTGTATGACGCACTGATACCGGATGTGTTCATACAACAAAACAAACATATGGTCTGGAAAATGTTAGTATCGTCTTCTTCAAAAACGAAAATAAATAAGTTATGACAACCACTCGAAGAACAATGTTTCGGTTGTCCTATACTGAGGATTAGTTTTTTCAATTGTGAGGAAAAAAAATTTTGTTTGAAGATTCTTGCAACAGTACTTTTCGTCAACAAATTCAAATGACATAATCATTTTAGCATGAATTATCATATCATATAATGACATTACCTTTGGTGACGCAAATAATGGCGCAACCAACCAAAATAGTAAACATCAGAGATCCTGTCATACTGCAATCTTCTAACTGTGCTGTTACTTCCAAGGAGATATGTACACAAGCAGTCGCGTGGCAGCCAAAAGGCGTTTTGAAGTGTATATGGTTGACACGGATGTTTTCAAAGAGCAATCCCTGATGTCACCACACACACCCGCAGCTATATATCAACCTCATTTTGACAAGGCATTTTGACAGGTGACATTTAATGAATGCCGTAGTGCCTTAGACTAAGACCCAATTCCCATAGTCACCATCAGTCTACGTGGATCGATCCAACTCTGCGGGGACTCTTGCTGAGCGCTTAAAGGGATAATAACTCTTCGTTTTGGCCAAAAAATGAATTTACCTGGAGTAAACAACAATTTTCCCATACTTACCAAAGGTTAATGAATCCATTTCTACATTCAAAGTTAGTCCCTGTTTTTTTTCTAAAAACTTTGGTTTTTTGTTAAAATCTCTTAAGAGATTATAACAGAGTATAACCATCAATGGAGGTCACGTGATCTAAAGACAAGCTTAGATATCGAAATAATAGCTATAACTGTCGTTTTTGTGGTACAACAGGATATATTTAATATTAACTTATAGGTACTCTATACTGGATTTAGCCACCAAACTTAATATTCCACGAGGAAAAACAATATTTCTTACTAACGAATCATTGCTCGATACGTCACTGCACTTGTATTCGATGTTCTCCATTTTGATTTAGTTCTAAATGACTGGCCATTCAAAAGCGTACAGTTATACCTTTCAGTGTCCAAATGTATTTAGTTTTTCGATTCATGTTTTGTACAACAATACTTTTTGACATTGTTTAGGATTATTATTTTAAAAAGCATTTTGCTCTGTTAAGGTGCATGTTTGACACCAGTTATCTCTAGAACATAACAATACACGTTGATACAAAATATACAAAAACCACTTATTTGTGATCGTAGATGTTACAGTTTATTATTCATATCATAATCATCAATCAAAACACTCGCCACATTTTGATGCAAAGTCTCGTCCCTATGTTTTAAAATTTAAGATCTATTTGAAACACATTGTGCTTTGACAATAATTGCGCAGGCCCGTAGCCAGGGGGGGGGGGATTCGGGGGGTTCGAAAGAACCCCCCTTTTTGCAGGGAAAAGGTCCCCTCTGGGTGAAATTTAATAAAGGTACATGAAAGTTGTATGGTAAAAGGTCCACTTTTTCAGAAAAAGAACCCCCCTTTTGAAATTTCTGGCTACGGGCCTGTTGCGGTATACACTGTAACAAAGTCAAAATAGTAGATAATTTCATCTATTACAGTGGAACAAAACTTGGAACCTTGAACGCAATTTTACGGTATTCTCTTGGTCAGAATGCACACTGGACAGAGGAAACAGGTTTTATCACAAGCGTCTGAGAGGTAACCTGTAGGCAACTGTATAAGGCAGTCACTCGGCATTTGAATACATCCGGGAATCATCGAGCACCTGAAAGGACATGAGTTTGTAAAATGCTACATTTGAAGTCAGGATCGCTTTGTGGGCTAGTGGGGGTGGAGATATATAAAGGCTCATCTATGTTTCATTTTTTTCGATGATGATTTTTTGAAACGATTCTATTTATTTTATGTGGAAATTTGTCGAAAAATGGATACCTACAATGTTAAATCTGGGGATTTATAAATCTCACACACAGGACATTCTGCGCATACTAAGCCGCCGAAGTAGAGACCATAAGGGGTAACCGTCTTGATACAGGTGGATGGAATGGGTGTGCACGGCTGCGGTTCAGGACACTGGAACTAGTACCGAAAAAATTATGTTCACACTTGAAAGCAACTAATTCTTTTGAAATTAACCAGTCCGTTAAATCACCATGAAATTGACCTTTAAGTCACTATATCATTGGGGTTCCAAGGACTAGATTACTTCGCCAGCTTGTGACACAAGTAACACAACGGTGGTTTTTAAGAGATCACCTACAAACTGACTAATCTCTGCGTTTATTTCTTTGGCTGATAGATCTTGAGTCTCCTAAGACAGTACGGACAATCCAGCTATCGGTGCGACTTACCAAACTTATCTTATGGCAATACAAACTATTCTCTAGTAGTGCATAGAAGTACATAAACACCAATAGCAAGACATACTGAAGTCAATTAAGAGTTGGTTTAACTGTAACTAGGAGATGACATTTGATTACAGTTCTTTCTGATGAATAAAATACATAAACGGATTCAGATTCAAGCAATATCAATTTAACTGAGACATCTAAACAATCTCTACCAAACACGAACATAATTTTAAACAGGAAGTTTCTAAACTGTAATTTGGCCGTGAAATCACCACTAGGACACAATATTGAAACCTGTGAAAATGCGTCTTATACTTTGTGGGGACATCTCTTCTAAGTCAGCGGATGTACCCTGACAGAGAGTCCGCTTCCCATTCATTTGTACAGGCAAGTCTTTGACCCACATAGGTCAGACTAACCCTAACTATTATAACTAAATGGAGGTCGCAATTTCTGTTACACGGACCCTCAGTTCCGTTACACCGGTCCAATTGAAATCCACTCATTTGAATCAGCTGGCTTAAAAATGTATGTAATTGATCATCTTATTTGTAACTGATTTATGTGAGAATTAGACTGCATTTTCAATCTAGAATCACAATCCTTTGAATATTTTAGATTTTATATTTCTTGATAAATGTATTTTCAAAGACTAATCTCATTTACTTTACGTTTGCTGAACATTTTAATGCAGCTTAACAGAAAATAAATATATCATTATTAACATTGCTAGGATATGAACAAATTTCCCTGACAACAATACAATACAGTTTTTGAAAATCAATTATAATGTACAACTATCTTTCTTGTGGAACGTTTACACCGTAATGTTTTAATATACCAACCTTGGCAGGTTCCGCAGAAGCTTTTCTAGTTTCCACAGGAAAAACTGGAGAATTATGGCATAACCACATTAATATCATAGCAAACATTTAAATATTTAACATAATTCATACCATATTTCACTTACGTACACATAACTACCGATCTTCACTAGGATTCACGTTTGTACAGAAATATGAGCATACTGCATATTCACTATAGAAACAACACTTTTCGTATGGATTTAGTTAGTTTCAGAATTTTTCATTTAAATTGACAATTTCAACCTAAAAGAACATGACATACAGTTGGAAATATAAAACTATCAATATATAAGACAAAATTCTTTTCTAAAAATAATATACCTGTGCTGCCAGCAATGATGGCAAAACCGACCAGAATAGTAAACATCACTGATCCTGTCATACTGCAGTTTTTTAGTTGTGATATTACCTCTAAAGAGGTATGGATATGGATGCAATAAGTCGCGTGTAAGTTAATATAAAATCACCCGCAGCTACATGTCAACCTCAACTCAAGGTGTTATATTACATTTATATGCATTAATTCTTTTTTTGACCTTCACTGAAGCTAATTTAATACAGGTAGCTATAAAACCGCATTTAATTTATGGCATATCATCAAGTGATGTTGAATTAATAATTAACAAATGCGATTCAAAGACGTAAGCGAGTTTATGACAAGAGCGACATCAAAACATTTAACTGTTTAAGCTTAGAGAAATATTGTGCAATGAAGTAAATTCTGAATTGCACACTGATCTGCGTATAACTGTAGCTTTTTTGAGCGGATCTGCACATTTGTTGTTCTCCCTGGATTTTTGACGTCAGTGGCACATAAGTTCTGTAAATAGATGAGGCCACGATATCTTATCTCTGGTAATGAGTGTCCAAATTTGGTCTTGAGTGTCCAAAATTCCTGTTTTGCATAATAGTCAAAATTAATGCATTCCCTTGAAAATTACGTAAGATTGAAAAAGCGTGACCTCAAAAACGGTATTTATTGATTGTGGTAGGCTATATTTGATGATAAAGGGAGAGTTGCACAAATTTTCAATATATTAAATTTTTATGGAAAGATGTTACGTGCATTGTATCTTTAACTTCAGTTATCACTTAACAACATTATGATACACGTTGTTAAAGTTAATACAACAGTTAAAGTTAATACAAAACTGTTATTATTACGACAGTTACAGTTAATACAGTTTGTTAGAGTTAATACAAAAACAACTAATTTACCAGCGTAGATGTTCAAGTTTGCTATTCATATCATGATCATTAACAAAAGTCTTGCTCTATTTTGATGCAAATCCCTTTTCTTTTATCTTTAACATTTATCTAAAGCAATGTAACGTATGCGATGTCCTGCTAGACATCGATATATTGGAGGTAAATATTGGAGGTAAATCTCAATATTAGCTGTTGACTGAGGAAAAAATCACATCATTCTTACAACATAACACAGCTGACGAAATTCTTCTCTGAATGTAACGTATGTTATGACAATTTTTTTTTATCATATTGCGTTTTTATTTTATTGCGTTATTTTGATGCAAAGTTTCGCTCCTATGCTTTAAAATTTACGATCTATTTAAAACACATTGTGTTTTGACAATAACTGCGGTATACTCTTAAACAAAGTTAAACTTGTAGGCAGTGGCGGATTTAGAGGGAGGGTCAGGGGGGTCCTGACCCCCCCTTCGGCTTCTGAAAAATATATCACATCAATATTCCCCTCTTGAAATTAGACCCTGCCTAATCCTCTTTCGAGATGGAGACTTATTGTGCCTTCAAATAAGCCAGACTATAATTCAAATGAAAATGATTTAAACAGCAACCCCTCAATCAAAATGTGTCGAACCCGATGTAATTTGCATAACAGTAAGTCGCTCAGCGCAGTGCGCACTACTCATATCTTCTTGACTGGTCACTTGACAGCTGCACACTGTAAGGACAGGACGCTGATCAATATGTGTGATGAAGTCGCAGAGCCGGAATTTTCATTCAGCTTCGAAAATTGTAACAAATTTGTCATGTGAGTAAAAGCTTTTTCATGTTTTTTACGAGTTCAAACTACCAGATAATAATTTTTTATTATTTTAATGGTTCTATACTTTACGTTGGCCTGAGTAGTTGACTGGATTTGAGAAAAGTTGCCTAGTGATATCTTCAAAAATCTTGAAAAGCACGTGCTGCCAGTAAAAACACAAATATAATATGAAGAAAGTTATATGAGTTTAATTTTGGGTGCCCAGATGCTGACACTTCAGTGTCACTCACTGTACGTAATTAGGCCACCTGAACACATTTCGTATTTCAAACACTTCCATAGTACATGATATATAAGTGTGAACCTTCTCAGATGCCTACATTACAAACTGATCAGTATAACAGTGCATTTAGTTTTACCAGTATTTTAAAAAAGATTTCCATATTTTCAATTGGACCATTAATGAGAGAAAACTATTTAAGTTTTTCACGATGACTTATTTGTGTAAGTTAGCCGTCTAGACCCTAAAGCTTTGACTTATTGTTATTGCAACCCTTTATTATCATCCAGATACCAAAAGTGAGTTTTTTTCCTTTATCTAAATATTAAATAATGTATCTTTTTTGTGCTGATTTCAAACGATGAAAAAAAAACTCGAAAATATAAAATATCGGCGTTTATAATTTTTCGCTTCCATGTGTAAGCATAGGCAACTCAAAGCTTTAATCGTCAATTTAGCACTTTTCTATTTTGAGTTGAGAGAGCAATCGGTATGGAAATGGTCCCTTTACGTTGTAAACGCTTTCCAAAAGAATCGGCCGCATTATTTCTTGTGATTCTTCTCATCGTGAAATATCAATTTTTTTAAATCTTTCATACAAACCCCCTTCAGTCGACTTTTCAAATTTGGTGTTCAGTTAGCTTCAATGTGATTTCTTTTTTTTGGGGGGGGGGGGGGGGGATGAGCAGAGGTTTTTCCATTTTCAGTTGATCTCATCTTTATTCGGATTCTCTGCTTTTGAAGATTGAAATATCGCCATTTAAATGTTATTTTGATATTTCAGAACTGCAAACGCCTTTGCCGAGATCCTGCGGAGTGCACGTGCGCCTGACTAAAGCATTTCTGGTCTCCGAGACATATTTTAAAATCTACCGTAGATCCAGATCCATTCGCACCGCAGATGCTATGTGTTGAAAATTGTACATGGTCTCTCTCTCTCTCTCTCTCTCTGTGATTTTCAAACACTTTTGTTCTTTTTAGAAATTATACTTAGAAATCGATCCTTTTTGTTATATATATATATATATATATATATATATATATATATATATATATATATATATATATATATATATCCTAGGGACTGATCATATCTTTTAAATTATACCTTAGGGCATGCTATGTACATCATTTTATTTGGAACCAATCCAGCTTCTTTTTAAATTTCTCATTATGCAATAGTGCAGTTATCACAATGTTTAAAATGACATAATGTGAGGGTTCGCAAATCAAAAATTTCAAAGGTGAAAGTAAAAACGTAATTTTCACGATGTTGAAGTTTGGGTAAGATTGTTTGTTTAGCCAATCAACTACCTAATCATATTATTATAATTTGCATTGTACTAGTCAATTTTTACTGTTAATATTTACACCTGTGAATTACAAGCAATTTATGAAAATAAATGCGCTTTTTGGGGGTAGTTTTTGATTCAATCTAAAATACACATTTAAAGTAAAATTGATATGTACTGGATTTTTAGAGCCTATACTATGCTCTATTTGGAATGCATTTTTTGTTCTCCAGATTAAATCTAAAAGGGCTTTTAAATTTTGTTAATGAAAAAAATTCAAATTAACAAAAAGCAGTTTCATTATAATGGCACGAATTCTTTATATGAGTAAATTCTGGAGGTGCCAATTTTCAGATTTTTCATTTCCGGTCAAATTCAAACGGTTAATATCGCCTGTTGGCCTATTCTTTGTCTAGTGAATCCAGTCCGTTCAAAGGCTGTTCTATTTTCTCATTATCTTTTATTATTTGAGCATATGAGTCCTTCAGTAAATATTTAATTGTTTCTTCATGGTTTTCTGTCATTAAAGATGCCATGTAATAAATAATACATCGAAAATTTGGTCTTTGCTTGTAGATGAAATGTATGACTGCATTGATATGAGTGAGAGAAAAAAAAACAGTCTCGTCTTTGGGCGAGTTTATCAAATTTGAGGGGTGGGACAAGTCCATTGCATTTGAGACGTGTCAGATNGATTAAAGACCAACGTTGTGTGGCCGTCTTGACCTTTTCCACTTACCTGCTTTTTTTATGATAGGGGGTAATATAATGGATGAGGAGTAAACAATTTTTATTATTTCTTACAGACCCTTTGAACGCTATCAGTAATACACTTACCACGGAGTATGTCCCTTTGCTCTCCACTTGAGAAACTAGAAGAAAGAGAGATTTCATAAATGGAATAATTTTAAAATTAAAATTATCATATTTCAGACCCATCCTTTTGTCCTGCGGATACAGGATGTGTCGTGTATGACGCACTGATATCGGATATGTTCATACAACAAAACAAACATATGGTCTGGAAAATGTTAGTATCGTCTTCTTTAAAAATGAAAATAAATAAGTTATGACAACCACTCGAAGAACAACGTTTCGGTTGTCCTATACTGAGAATTAGTTTATTCAATTGTGAGGAAATTTTTTTTGTTTGAAGATTCTTGCAACAGTACTTTTCGACAACAAATTCAAGTGACATAATCATTTTAGCATGAATTATCATATCATATAATGACATTACCTTTGGTGACACAAATAATGGCGCAACCAACCAAAATAGTAAACATCAGAGATCCTGTCATACTGCAATCTTCTAACTGTGCTGTTACTTCCAAGGAGATATGGACACAAGCAGTCGCAGCCAAAAGGCGTTTTGAAGTGTATATGGTTGACACGGATGTTTTCAAAGAGCAATCCCTGATGTCACCACACACACCCGCAGCTATATATCAACCTCATTTTGACAAGGCATTTTGACAGGTGACATTTAATGAATGCCGTAGTGCCTTAGACTAAGACCCAATTCCCATAGTCACCATCGGTCTACGTAGATCGATCCAACTCTGGGGGACTCTTTCCGAGTGCTTAAAGGGAAAATAACTTTTCGTTTTGGCCAAAAAAAAAAGAATTTTCCTGGAGTAAACAACAATTTTCCCATACTAACCAATGGTTAATGAATCCATTTCTACATTCAAAGTTAGTCCCTGGTTTTTTTCTAAAAAGTTTGGTTTTTTGTTAAAACCTCTTAAGAGATTATAATAGAGTATAACCATCAATGGAGGTCACGTGATCTAGAGACAAGCTCAGATATCGAAATAATAGCTATAACTGCCGTTTTTGTGGTACAACAGAATATATTTAATTTCTATGAGTTGTTCACAATGTTTTTTTTTTTGTGAAATTTAGATCTCATACGAAGAGTTATTATCCCTTTAATGAAAATTTCTATGATAAAAAAAGCCCATGGGATATCGCTTAAATTGCGCGGGTCTGCAAAATTCCTGTAGTTTTGACGTCAGTGATACTTAAGTTCTGTAGAGGTACAAATGACATTAAACTTGTAGGTACTCTATACTGGATTTAGCCACCAAACTTAATATTCCACGAGGAAAAACAATATTTCTTACTAACGAATCATTGCTCGATACGTCACTGCACTTGTATTCGATGTTCTCCATTTTGATTTAGTTCCAAAAGACTGGCCATTCAAAAGCGTACAGTTATACCTTTAAGTGTCCAAATGTATTTAGTTTTTCGATTCATGTTTTTGTACAACAATACTTTTTTTAACATTGTTTAGGATTATTTTTTTTAAAAGCATTTTGCTCTGTTAAGGTACATGTTTGACACCAGTTATCTCTAGAACATAACAAAACACGTTGTTACAAAATATACAAAAAACACTTAATTGTGATCGTAGATGTTCCAGTTTATTATTCATGTCATAATCATCAATCAAAACACTCGCCACATTTTGATGCAAAGTCTCGTCCCTATGTTTTAAAATTTAAGATCTATTTGAAACACATTGTGCTTTGACAATAATTGCGCAGGCCCGTAGCCAGGGGGGGGGGATTCGGGGGGTTCGAAAGAACCCCCCTTTTTTGCAGGGAAAAGGTTCCCTCTGGGTGAAATTTAATAAAGGTACATGAAAGTTGTATGGTAAAAGGTCCACTTTTTCAGAAAAAGAACCCCCCTTTTGAAATTTCTGGCTACGGGCCTGTTGCGGTATACACTGTTACAAAGTCAAAATAGTAGATAATTTCATCTATTACAGTGGAACAAAACTTGGAACCTTGAACGCAATTTTACGGTATTCTCTTGGTCAGAATGCACACTGGACAGAGGAAACAGGTTTCATCACAAGCGTCTGAGAGGAAACCAGTAGGCAACTGTATGAGGCAGTCACTCGGCATTTGAATACATCCGGGAATCATCGAGCACCTGAAAGGACAAGAGTTTGTGAAATGCTACATTTGAAGTCAGGATCGCTTTGTGGGCTAGTGGGGGTGGGGATATATAGGCTCATCTATGTTTCATTTTTTTTTTTTTCGATGATGATTTTTTGAAACGATTCTATTTATTTAATGTGGAAATTTGTATACCTACCATGTTAAATCGGGGTATTTATAAATCTCACATACAGGACATTCTGCGCATACTAAGCCGCCGAAGTAGAGACCATACGGGGTAACCGTCTTGATACAGTTGGATGGAATGGTTGTGCACGACTGCGGTTCAGGACACTGGAACTAGTACCGAAAAAATTATGTTCACACATGAAAGCAACCAATTCTTTTGAAATTAACCAGTCCGTTAAATCACCATGAAATTGACCTTTAAGTCACTATAACATTGGGGTTCCAAGGACTAGATTACTTCGCCAGCTTGTGACACAAGTAACACAACGGTGGTTTTTAAGAGATCACCTACAAACTGACTAATCTCTACGTTTATTTCTTTGGCTGATAGATCTTGAGTCTCCTAAGACAGTACGGACAATCCAGCTATCGGTGCGACTTACCAAACTTATCTTATGGCAATACAAACTATTCTCTAGTAGTGCATAGAAGTACATAAACACCAATAGCAAGACATATTGAAGTCAATTAAGACATTCAGTAGAGTTGGTTTAACTGTAACTAGGAGATGACATTTGATTACAGTTCTTTCTGATGAATAAAATACATAAACGGATTCAGATTCAAGCAATATCAATTTAACTGAGACATCTAAACAATATCTACCAAACATAGACATAATTTAAACAGGAATTTTCTAAACTGTAATTTGGCTATGAAATCACCACTAGGACACAATATTGAAACCTGTGAAAATGCGTCTTATACTTTGTGGGGACATCTCTTCTAAGTCAGCAGATGTAACGTGACCGAGAGTCCGCTTTCCATTCATTTGTACAGATAAGACTCATAGTAGATTTTGACCCATATAGCTCAGACTAACCCTAACCATAATAACTAAATGGAGGGCGCAATTTCTGTTACACGGACCCTCAGTTCCGTTACACCGGTCCAATTGAAATCCACTCATTTGAATCAGCTGGCTTAAGAAGAAGTTGAAAACATTTCTATTAAAAATGTATATAATTGATCATCTTACTTGCAACTGATTTATGTGAGAATTAGACTGCATTTTTAATCTAGAATCACAATCCTTTGAATATTTAAGATTTTATATTTCTTGATAAATGTATTTTCAAAGACTAATCTCATTTACTTTAAGTTTGCTGAACATTTTAATGCAGCTTAACAGAAAATAAAGATATCATTATTACAATGCTAGGATATGAACACATTTCCCTGACAACAATACAATACAGTTTTTGAAAATCAATTATAATGTACAACTATCTTTCTTGTGGAACGTTTACACCGTAATGTTTTAATATACCAACCTTGGCAGGTTCCGCAGAAGCTTTCCTAGTTTCCACAAGAAAAACTGGAGAATTATGGCATAACCACATTAATATCATAACAAACATTTTAATATTTAACATAATTCATACCATATTTCACTTACTGTACGTACACATAAAGTTCTACCGATCTTCACTAGGATTACCGTTTGTACATAAATATATGACCATACTGTAAGGTTAAATGAGCATACTGCATATTCACTATAGAAACAACACTTTTCGTATGGATTTAGTTAGTTTCAGAATTTTTCACTTAAATTGACAATTTCAACCTAAAAGAACATGACATACAGTTGGAAATATAAAACTGACTATCAATATATAAGACAAAATTCTTTTCTAAAAATAATATACCTGTGCTGCCAGCAATGATGGCAAAACCGACCAGAATAGTAAACATCACAGATCCTGTCATACTGCAGTTTTTTAGTTGTGATATTACTTCTAAAGAGGTATGGATATGGATGCAATAAGAGACGTGTAAGTTAATATAAAATCACCCGCAGCTACATGTCAACCTCAACTCAAGGTGTTATATTACATTTATATGCATTAATTCTTTTTGACCTTCACTGAAGCTAATTTAATACAGGTAGCTATAAAACCGCATTTAATTTATGGCATATCATCAAGTGATGTTGAATTAATAATTAATAACTGCGATTCAAAGACGTAAGCGAGTTTATGACAAGAGCGAGATCAAAACATTTAACTGTTTAAGCTTAGAGAAATATTGTGCAATGAAGTAAATTCTGAATTGCACACTGATCTGCGTATAACTGTAGCTTTTTTGAGCGGATCTGCACATTTGTTGTTCTCCCTAAATTTTTGACGTCAGTGGCATATAAGTTCTGTAAATAGATGAGGCCACGATATCTTATCTCTGGTCTTGAGTGTCCAAATTTGGTCTTGAGTGTCCAAAATTCCTGTTTTGCATAATAGTGCATAATAATGAATTAATAATTAATAACTGCGATTCAAAGACGTAAGCGAGTTTATGACAAGAGCGAGATCAAAACATTTAACTGTTTAAGCTTAGAGAAATATTGTGCAATGAAGTAAATTCTGAATTGCACACTGATCTGCGTATAACTGTAGCTTTTTTGAGCGGATCTGCACATTTGTTGTTCTCCCTAAATTTTTGACGTCAGTGGCACATAAGTTCTGTAAATAGATGAGGCCACGATATCTTATCTCTGGTCTTGAGTGTCCAAATTTGGTCTTGAGTGTCCAAAATTCCTGTTTTGCATAATAGTCAAAATTAATGCATTCCCTTGAAAATTACGTAAGATTGAAAAAGCGTGACCTCAAAAACGGTATTTATTGATTGTGGTAGGCTATATTTGATGATAAAGGGAGAGTTGCACAAATTTTCAATATATTAAATTTTTATGGAAAGGTGTTACGTGCATTGTATCTTTAACTTCAGTTATCACTTAACAACATTATGATACACGTTGTTAAAGTTAATACAACAGTTAAAGTTAATACAAAACTGTTATTATTACGACAGTTACAGTTAATACAGTTTGTTAGAGCAGGGAATTATATCGGATATAATTCCCTGGTTAGAGTTAATACAAAAACAACTAATTTACCAGCGTAGATGTTCAAGTTTGCTATTCATATCATGATCATTAATCAAAAGTCTTGCTCTATTTTGATGCAAATCCCTTTTCTTTTATCTTTAACATTTATTTAAAGCAATGTAACGTATGCGATGTCCTGCTAGACATCGAAATATTGGAGGTAAATATTGGAGGTAAATCTCAATATTAGCTGTTGACTGAGGAAAAAATCACGTCATTCTTACAACATAAGACAGCTGATGAAATTCTTCTCTGAATGTAACGTATGTTATGACAATGTTTTTTTTTTTTTTTATCAGATTGCGTTTTTATTTTATTGCGTTATTTTGATGCAAAGTCTCGCTCCTATGCTTTAAAATTTACGATCTATTTGAAACACATTGTGTTTTGACAATAACTGTGGTATACTCTTAAACAAAGTTAAAATTGTAGGCAGTGGCGGATTTAGAGGGAGGGTCAGGGGGGTCCTGACTCCCCCCCTTCGGCCTCTGAAAAATATATCACATCAATATTCCCCTCTTGAAATTAGACCCTGCCTAATCCTCTTTCGAGATGGAGACTTATTGTGCCTTCAAATAAGCCAGACTATAATTCAAATGAAAATGATTTCAACAGCAACCCCTCAATCAAAATGTGCCGAACCCGATGTAATTTGCATAACAGTAAGTCGCTCAGCGCAGTGCGCACTACTCATATCTTCTTGACTGGTCACTTGACAGCTGCACACTGTAAGGACAGGACGCTGATCAATATGTGTGATGAAGTCGCAGAGCCGGAATTTTCATTCAGCTTCGAAAATTGTAACAAATTTGTCATGTGAGTAAAAGCTTTTTCATGTTTTTTACGAGTTCAAACTACCAGATAATAATTTCTTATTATTTAATGGTTCTATACTTTAGGTTGGCCTGAGTAGTTGACTGGATTTGAGAAAAGTTGCCTAGTGATATCTTCAAAAATCTTGAAAAGCACGTGCTGCCAGTAAAAACACAAATATAATATGACGAAAGTTATATGAGTTAGTTTAATTTTTGGGTGCCCAGATTCTGACACTTCAATGTCACTCACTGTACGTAATTAGGCCACCTGAACACATTTCGTATTTCAAACACTTCCATAGTACATGATATATTAGTCAGGCCTACCCAACTACCAGACTCGGCACCTAAGGATCCTAAATTAACCGGTATATCGGACCACGCTACCCGTTTTCAAGGTGTGTGTCAGATCGTATTTCGGAGTATCATACCCCAGAACAAATTTTGTTGCACGACTGCGGGCTCATCCACGCTCGGCTGAACAACCTTAAACTGTACTCTTACTTTAGAGAACTCTATTTTATTGTCTCTACGGGGATATATGGGGACTTTACGACATTCGGTTTGAATGTTTTAACCACTTTTTATAGGGCTTTTTTTGCATTGTATTAGATTAATGTGGCAGTCTAAGGTTCATCTAGGTGGCTTTTAAATTTATGCACCCGGTTTTAAAATCATATAGCGATTTTACGACAATCGTTTACAATCCAATCAAGGTGACAGCCGAGCATGCCAGGGCTCATCCTGTCGGTGTTCTGGCTGATACTCCGAAATGCGATCTGACACACACCTTGAAAACGGGTAGTGTGGTCCGATATACCGGTTAATTCAGGATCCTTAGGTGCCGAGTCTGGTAGTTGGGTAGGCCTGTTAGTGTGAACCTTCTCAGATGCCTACATTACAAACTAATCAGTATAACAGTGCATTTAGTTTTACCAGTATTTTAAAAAAGATTTCCATATTTTCAATTGGACCATTAATGAGAGAAAACTATTAAAGTTTTTCACGATGACTTGTTTAAGTTAGCCGTCTAGACCCTAAAGCTTTGACTTATGGTTATTGCAACCCTTTATTATCATCCAGATACCAAAAGTGATTTTTTCCTTTATCTAATTATTTAATAATGTATCTATTTTTGTGCTGATTTCAAACGATGAAAAAAACTCGAAAATATAAAATATCGGCGTTTATATTTTTTCGCTTCCATGTGTAAGCATAGGCAACTCAAAGCTTTAATCGTCAATTTAGCACTTTTCTTTTTTGAGTTGAAATAGCAATCGGTATGGAAATGGTCCCTTTACGTTGTAAACGCTTTCCAAAAGAATTGGCCGCATTATTTCTTGTGATTCTTCTCATCGTGAAATATCAATTTTTTTTAATGTTTCATACAAACCCCCTTTAGTCGACTTTTCAAATTTGGTGTTCAGTTAGCTTCAATGTGATTTCTTTTTTTTTTTTTGGGGGGGGGGATGGTCAGAGGTTTTTCCATTTTCAGTTGATCTAATCTTTATTCGGATTCTCTGCTTTTGAAGATTGAAATATCGCCATTTAAATGTTATTTTGATATTTCAGAACTGCAAACGCCTTTGCCGAGATCCTGCGGAGTGCACGTGCGCCTGACTAAAGCATTTCTGGTCTCCGAGACATATTTTAAAATCTACCGTAGATCCAGATCCATTCGCACCGCAGATGCTGTGTGTTGAAAATTGTACATGGTCTCTCTCTCTCTCTCTTTCTCTCTCTCTCTCTCTCTCTCTCTCTCTCTGTGATTTTCGAACACTTTTGTTCTTTTTAGAAATTATACTTAGAAATCGATCCTTTTTGTTATATATATATATATATATATATATATATATATATATATATATATATATATATATATATAATACCCTAGGGACTGATCATATCTTTTGAATTATACCATAGGGCATGATATGTAGGCCTACATCATTTTATTTGGAACCAATCCAGCTTCTTTTTAAATTTCTCATTATGCAATAGTGCAGTTATTAAAATGTTTAAAATGACATAATGGGAGTGTTCGCAAATCAAAAATTTCAAAGGTGAAAGTAAAAACGCAATTTTCACGATGTTGAAGTTTGGGTAAGATTGTTTATTTAGCCAATCAACTACCTTATCATATTATTATAATTTGCATTGTACTAGACAATTTTTACTGTTAATATTTACACCTGTGAATTACAAGCAATTTATGAAAATAAATGCGCTTTTTGGGGGTAGTTTTTGATTCAATCTAAAATACACATTTAAAGTAAAATTGATATGTACTGGATTTTTAGAGCCTATACTATACTCTATTTGGAATGCATTTTTTGTTCTCCAGATTAAATCTAAAAGGGCTTTTAAATTTTGTTAATTAAAAAAAAAAAACAAATTAACACAAAGCAGTTTCATTATAATGGCACGAATTCTTTATATGAGCAAATTCTGGAGGTGCCAATTTTCAGATTTTTCATTTCCGGTCAAATTCAAACGGTTAATATCGCCTGTTGGCCTATTCTTTGACTAATGAATCCAGTCCTGTTCAAAGGCTGTTCTATTTTCTCATTATCTTTTATTATTTGAGCATATGAGTCCTTCAGTAAATATTTAATTGTTTCTTCATGGTTTTCTGTTATAAAAGATGTCATATAATAAATAATACATCGAAAATTTGGTCTTTGCTTGTAGATGAAATGTATGAGAGAAAAAAAAACAGTCTCGTCTTTGGGCGAGTTTATCAAATTTGAGGGGAGGGACAAGTCCATTGAATTTGAGACGTGTCAGATGGGGTGAATTCATTCTATTTGANCCGTTTGAGTTGTGACAGGTGGGATGACCCCATTTCATTTGAAGGGTGACATGCGTGTTGCTACAAACAAATTTAAATCTTTTGAATAGGTTGCAAGATTGTAAATTTATACTTTATATTGGAATTTAGGTATTCTTTCAGCCGGTTAAACCTTTAATGTCCAATTTTATATTTACAAAATACTGCACATAATAACAAAGTTTTAATTAAACCATTTCAATTTTAAATATCGCCAGGTATCACAGAAAACCGTCATTCCTAAAAGAAAATTACACCATTCTTCCAGATTGAACTTGCAAAAGTAATCACATCTATGTGATCTTTCCCCTTTCCCATTTTAAAATTGCTGTACTGTTTTTTTTTTTTTATCTATATGAAAACATAACGAGGAATTACAGAAATATTTATTCGGATTTGATATAACAGATACATGAAATTGAGTATGATATATGTCAAAGACTTTGTTGTTTGCAATCCCATGTTGCACAAATTCTCCGTGGGCTTCTGAAATAAAAAAACGCATAGAAATTTTGATTCAAGTGAGAGACTGAGATCATTTTGACTTATTCTAGAGAAGCGCAACACATCTTATTTGAACCTTTTTCTTTTAAGAATATATGAAATAAATTACACATAACTTGGATGAAAGTACAATCAAGTTTTAATATGGTCGTGTAATGGAGGGACAGAATACGGCACACTGGAGACGGTACTCAACCTGGTTAAAACCTTCATCTGTAAACCATCGCTTTATGAGCGATTGACATGTGCGTGAATGTGTGTTGTATTATATGAAAAACACTTACCATACAAAAAGATCTTTGACAGGCATGTCAATCTTTAAGCATAAATGGATTGCCCAAGTGTAATCTGAAACAAGTAAGATAACTTTAATAGCTATGTCGACCCTTATTCTTGTAGTAATAATAATGATAATAATAAAATGATGTATCTTAAAAATTGCTAATTTTTCCCAGGTGAAATGATCAGTCCTTTACAGTACATAAATTATATAACCCAAAAGAAATCGCTGAAAACCATCGTAATTGTCTTCAAAGGCGACGTTTGAAATGTTAATTAAATTTGACTTTAAAATTGATGTACACCTTGATAGGGCAGACTTCTCCTTGTATCCAAAACTCAGAGCTATGACAAGTAATATTATCTAAATGAATCAGTCTTTTTGTGCAGTCATGTTTATATTTATACGAAAACATTTTAAATTTAGTCACAAATGCGCTTTTAATTGCCAGGGGTCATACAAAAATTTCACACGTGCAGAACAAAATATAGCTAGTTTGAAAGATTTCAAGCAAATTTATTGTTTCATCAATGGTCAGCTGATAGCACCATTTCTCCTGTACGTTTGTTGTCCCAAAGCACTGTAACCAACATATTCTGATGGGCATAATGTTACAACAAATCGCCTTACTAGTACTAATATCTACAATAAATTTTCTTTCATTCGGTTGCACTCGTGTTTTATTGAGGGAGGTTATTGAAGAAGTAGTGCTACTTACCAAATACTTGCTTCTACGTCTTATAAAAGCTTAAACTTGTGAATTCGCCACACATAATGTTGCGTCTTCTCTCAACTGTGCCCAACTGCATAGTGAGTAGTCAGCTCGCACTACGACGGGCAACTTATTGTTATGCAAATTGCAACAGATTTGGCCCATTTTGGGTGAGACGTTTCGGCTAAAACTGCTCACAAATGTTCACTGTCAAAATATTAACAGTACATTTTTTATACACCTAAAGTCCACTTGTTAAAACATACTACTTAAATACAAAAACTACTTTTTAAAATCATAATCGAATGAAGCGTTTTTATGACTCTGTTTAACCCAAGATCCACAGTATTTTATATAATGAAGCCAATCAGTAGAAATAGTTTAATTGGGATACAGGCATAGGAATGCAGCCCGGAATTATCGTGCAAGGACACAAGTACGTAAAATGCTACAGCTAAGGCATAGGGTCGTAAAAAAAGGAAGGTAATAAGCATAAGTTCCACATTAGTAACGTGCACCGTATTTTTATTTCATAATTATAATTCTTACTAAACATTTTACTTTTGTATTCATAACTACCGATCTTTAGATAGAATTCTCGTTTGTAAAGAAAAATCAGCACTGCAAAATTAAGTGTAAAACGGACATACTGCATATTCATTTGAAAACAGCACGTTTCGCATGGTTTTAGATAGTTTCAGCATTTTTCATTGAATTTTGTCCTTGTGTAATATTTAAGATCTCTCGTGCATAGCAATCATCTGCCTTCGAGCAGGTCGCCTTGTTTCCAGTTCTGACAATTTAAAACTAAAAGAACATGGTATACAGTTAATTACGTAGGTAAAACTGATATCCATATGTTAGACAAAATTGTTGTAAAAATATCAATACCTTTGCTGACCACAATATTGGTAAAACCAACCAAAGCAGTAAATACCACAGATCCTGTCATATTGCAGTCTTTAAGCTTTGATGTTACTTCCAGAGATATACAGACGAATGCATAAAGTTGCGTGTGATTTAATATACGCGTGTTTGTATAAAATTACCCGCAACTACATATCAACCTCAACTCAAGGCGTTATATTGAAAATAAGGTTATTGTAACCCTTCATTTTCATCCAGATACCGAAAATGAGTTTTTTCCTCTATCTAATTATTCAATAATGCATTTATCTTTGTGCTGACTTAAAACAATAAAAAGAAACTCGAAAATATAAAAAACGGCGTTTATATTTCATCGCTGCAATGCATAGGCAACCCAAAACTTTAGTCGTCAATTTAACACCTATCTCTATTGAGGTGAGATAGCAATCGGTATAGGGCGTAACTTCTTCCCAAAACAAGATTTGATCGTGAAAATTGGCAGAGTTGATTTACGAGTGTAACGGCTAGAATCCCGTGCCGTTATTTTGGTTTAAATGTTTTGTTATGGAATTACAAGCCCCTAATTACAGATTTTCATTTCAAGAGGCATTTATTTGCTTTATCAAAGATAAAATCCGAACTTGGACCTCCAAGAAAAATCACTGTCAGGGTTTTGGAGTACTAAATGGTGTCATTCAATCGGCGTTGAAATGGTGATCGTGGGTGCTCAGAAATTTGAGAAACCGATTTTTCAGTTTTTGCCACAAAATCGCAATTAAATGTAAAAACTGCTACACATTAAAAAGACTGGGTGGTGCTAAAAACTTGGCGGCAATCAACGCGTTATTTATTTTATTATTATTATTTATTCATTATTATTTTTTTTTGATTCAGTGTCACGATTTCATATTCCAAGCATGATGTTGCAGACCATTCCCAGACCCTATTGTATTAACTTCTCCACGGGGATTCTCGCTTAATTGCAATTAACTTAAGCGGCTTCGGTGTCTGTCACGCCTACTGAAGCTGATAGGGGGTAATTAACTGTTTAGCAGCTTTAGCAGGCGTGCCAGACATCTAAGCCACTTAAACTGAAAGCAATTTAGCGAGAAACCTCGAGATGGACCTATCCTGTTAGATCGATCTAGGGTTTGGAACCCAGTCTTAGGGTGCTTTCCCAGAGATTTAGATCGTTCTAAAGATTAAGTTTTAGATCGGCCTAACTCCCTGGGGGTTCACGCTAAATTGCAGTCAGCCGAGCGGGCACCATAGTTAATTACCCCCTTACAGCTTTTAGTAGGCGGGACAGACGCTTAAGCCGGCCAAGCTGACAGTAATCTAGTGAGACTCCCTACGGGGATAGATCGATCTAAAAATCTATGGAAATGGGGTGTTAGACCTTAGCAAAGGAATGCGCGAAGCAACGAGTAGAAGAAACTTTTCAGGCCTCCTAGTTTATACTGACAAGCCACCGAGTAATTACTGAAAGGGTCAGGTTGGTGGAATTACATTGTCTTATGTCGTCCTATTGTCCCCCAAGCAAATCATCTCCAACATCATCTTATGGTTAAATTTCGTCTTTCTAATTCACCAAGCCAAGTTAGTTGCTCTTCTCAGATATTTTTGTGGAGATGATAAAACAAGACTGTTTTAATTCCACACTTGAACAAAAATATACACAATAATGATTGCGAAAAAAAAAAATAATGCTATAAATTGCGTAAACACCCTCTGGTGATATAGCATGGATGGAGAATGCCATATGGTGTAATAATCTGACAGTAAGTGAAATATACATTTTTGGGTGTGAAAAAGTTGCAATCCAGCATATTTCCATATGCACATTTATTCTTTCATTGGTTTCTCATTATGTCTGAAATCCAAACTTTTTTTACATCAAAATGGAAATAACATAAATAATAACAATAAAGATAATGTGCAGCATATACAACAAAGTTAATAGCCTAATAACATTTACTCACATGGAACCTTAATATTTGCACTTGTAATCTTAATGGCATTCATTTACAGAATACTATATTTTGTTTATATTTTTTTCTATTAGGAGTGTTCATATTAGATAATCCAACACTGAAACTAGAACTGCATAGGAAAGGGAAATCATCTAGTGTGACGTGAAGCCATATACAAATTAATATTATTCTAGCTATTACAGTAGTACCCCACTCTTTTGTGCTATGAAGTTATTTCAGAAAGGCTTCAAATTAAGTCTGTAATACCCATCCAAATTTTGACATGCCTCAATCTACTGACAGTGTCAATGGAAGAAACCCTGAGGATGTCTAGGCTGACAAACCTCATTTACAATTACTTTTGGAAGAGATTCCAGAACTAACACTTTCAAAGCAAAAAAAGCATCAAATTCATAATTCTGATGCTGAATGCGTACAGGTTATAACTTTTCTGGAATGATAAAAGAAGCATCGGTGTTAATAAAAGATCAAACCAAGGGCCAATGAACTGATGTTTATGTTCTACTGTTGGTTCAAATATTTACAGAGTGGTGATATGCTGTTATATAGTTTCATCAAGTACCAGAGTCAATCTTCTCAGATTCTAGCAAATATGCTGCTAATTGTGGGGACGTGTTGGATGTTTTTTTTCTAAAGCACTGGAATACCAAAAAAACAACATTATCATTTGAAAACAATATTAACAAATAAAACTGGTGACAAATCTTCATATATATTCTACCAAGAGCCATGCACTGGCTACAGCAGATTGAACAAGAACATTGGCATTTTATATATATGTCCCCAGTTATTTAATACAAGGTAAATTCAAAACATTCACAATTGATGTTATTAAATGATGAGCATGGCAACTAGATTGGGATCAGAGGAAAAATGTCTATGTACCTTCACCTCTTAGAAAAAATCTAACCTGGGTCACATTATCAAAATTCTTGCTTACTGGTTTTTGAAACTATGACCTTCATTCAAAGTACCTATATGGTGAATAGCTGTTTCTGCACATATTGATATATATTATATTAGCCAACTCAGATCCTACACTCTCTCTGAAATATCTGAAATAACAAACACATGCTTAGAACTCCCTTAACAAAGTATTAACTAAGCTCATTTTTCTTATCTCTGGAAACTACCAATATATGATATAAATGTATTCAACAGTTCAAAATAAATTCAACTTGAAAGTATTCAAATTCCTTTTAAACTATAACCTTTCTTCAGTTTGAAAAAAATGAAGCAGAAAACTTTGAACAATACTGTGTACCCTATTAACATCAAGTAGTCACAAAATGACATGGATGCCCCACAAACCATGTGACATTAACTGATACAGATACTATACATACTATTTTTTCAAAACGTGCCTATAAACCCAAATTGAACTACAAAATGTATTAACTAGCTGATTGTGATTTTAGGTACTTGTTTTGCATAACAAGTCCTCAATAGACATTGCAAGATAAAATACAGAGGGTTCTTATTGTCTTTTATGTTAATAAATCTGTAGTTCTAATCATCCCCCCCCCTTTCAAAGCAGACACGTGTACAATAGCAGCATCCAACAACATATCCACTATGGCCCTTGTTTTCCCTAACATACGACACATCAGCCCCTACAAGTTTAGCTATGTACAATGATATACACTGTGCCCTGCCAGAAGCACATCCAGGTCACCAGGGCTTTTTAACAACTTTCTAACAACTAAGACTCTTTGTTTTGCCACTTTTTCCCTTTAATTTATTATTTTTTGTTCTCCTCAAATTCCTAGGATCATAGTGGTTCTCTCTTCTTGAGCTGATGTTTTTTTTTTTACACTCGTGTCCAGTCTATTTTAGTATCTGTTTTCTGTTCCTGCTGCAAATGCTCCTCTGGCAGCAGCAGCCCCAGCGTTAGCAGCCACACCTTGGACTGTCTCATTCTTCATTACCCCAGTGGCAAACTCCTGCCGGGCCTTGGCAAGACTAGCCCCCGTGGAACGGTAGATACGATGGACCTAAATAGGAAAAAAAGTACACAGTTCATTGCAGCAAACAATGGTAACCATGCATCTGAATCAATCTGAATGACCACTCCATGCCTGCTGGGTCGATCCTCTTTTTCAAAGCTTAAACATATATGAAAAGGCTGTGCACTGTTAGATATTAAGTTCCTGCTTTACATCTAAAAACATTAAATTTGTTTAATCATTTTGTCCACTTCAAAAATATAAAAGTGAAAACTACATTTAATTTGTTTAAAGCACTCAATATCAATCTTGTCCACTTCAGAAATATAAAAGTGAAAACTAAGGTACTGTGAATTTAATAAACATACATGACAATAAATAACACATAACCTCCTTTATCCAAGAAAACAAGACTAAATATTTCCATTTCAATGTATTTACTGATATATACATTTACCTTTATTAGTAATATCATATCCAATACAGCCAATATAGTGAAGAAAAACCCAATCACCAAACAGATTGCACCTGCAGCTGGGTCTGGGCCAACACGATCCAACCCCGAGATCCACCCACTAATGGGATATAAAGAAGCAATACAAGCATTAAATAATAAAACATGTTTGTGTATGTTTATCCACCCACTAATGGGATATAAAGAAGCAATACAAAATATGAAATTATCCTAAGGGCCAAATGGTACAGTAGTAGGCATATAAGACATAAGAAGCTGTAACTATGAAAAAAAATCCAAATAGATGTAAAGTAGTAAATGAAAATAACTGATATGTGGGTCCATTAGGAGCAAAAGCAGTTAACATCATTACATCGGTTGAGAAAGAGGGTTAAAGTACCTGATATTAAACACTCACCTCAGTTCAATTTTTATTTATCTAATTTTTTTTGCAGAAGTGAGCTTGCTCTACATAATGAGGTGGATTTTGTGTATGTGAACAAGATCAGGTGCTCTCTTCTTACAGATTTTAAGTCTTTTAATGAACCCTTTATCAATGATTTCAATTCATTACATTATATCTACATTGTTTTATTTCCACAGTTTAAGCTTTTATATCTTACGTATGGTATTTAGTGTTGAAAGACAAAATGAAGAAATTGACATGCTGATATAAGTGCGCCACTTTCTGCCACAAATAACATTTAAGACAAATAAATATATTCATCAAGGGTTAAGTAACAATGTTATTAGTTCCAAGGGCTTTAAACTAAGTTCAGGAAATAACTATGCACCATCCACCTCATTTTAGTCAATGAAAAGCTAAATGACATAGCACTTGTATCCCTGAATGTCTTCCAACACTAAAAATCACCATCATGCAGATGCATACCCTGGCAAGTCAACTGTACTACTAACATTACCTTAATAAGTAAGATAATATCAAATAGGCCCATCAATGCAAATAGTATGCCAACAACAAACATTATTGCTCCTGTGGCTGGATCCAATGAAACAATGCTCAAGGCAGAGATAATTCCACTGTTACATGGAGATGTCATTGCCAAGAAAAAAAATTATCAGTAGACAGTATATTTATACATGAATCATTTCTAGTCTATCAAAAAATAAATAAAATAAATAAATAAATAAATAAAATAAAAAGAATAACTTCTTTCTATAAATCACACTATTTTAATGTTATGCAAAAATGATAAGAATCAGAAACCACTTTTATCCCTATTAAAATTGTAAAACTATTTTAAAATTCTAATATGTATGTACAATTATTGCATCAGAGAGCATGTGTTGTATCTTTGCATCCATATAGTCACGTTCAAAGTTTTCATATCTGATAAAAATGACAGTCAAAAGTACTTACACAGATCCAGCACTGTCAATTCCGAGACATTCAATTATGTGGGCAACAAATTGAATAAAAAACACAAAAAAGAAGACAAAGAAGTTGAAGGAACTGTCACTCCTGAAATATAAAAAAAAATAAAACTAGACTTTTTCAATAAACACACAAGTCAATATTTTTTTTAACTTTTGGGTTAAACTTATAATTATTATATTAGTAGCAATTCAGACAAAAAGAAGAGATTCTGTTAGGACATATATCTAATGTACTAAATTAATTTTTCCTTATCTTTTAATTTTATTTGATGTTTGAATTTTGCTCAACTAACCTGAATGCTTTATAGACGGGTCTGTACCAGCAGATAAATGAGCAAGGAGTAAATAGAATAAAGAACAATATGGACAGTCCAAAAGTCACTCCTGCTCCACTGCTGTTAGCGCTTGGATCCTTGGACTTAGAGATGAAATAAGCAAGACTACCCAGCACATTGAGGACAAGCACACATGCATGGACTGAAAAAATGCATATGATTTCTGTTTATTATTTCAAGTAAGAACCAGTATTTATAAATGCATCTTTTGAAAAATAAAAAAAAACTTGGGGTCTTTCAAACAAGATCCAAATGTTCTCATATTCTTATCCAGTTGGCAAAACATTAAAAATGTCTGAAAAATATTAAGAACGATATACTGCACTCCACAAAAAGGGACAAAAGGCACTGTTAGGCCCACCACAGAACCATATCAAGTTTCAGTTTCAGTTTATTTTTATTAAAGTCTCACCCATAAAGGTAAAAAATAAAATCAATAAAAGTTAAAACAGTCATTACAACAAGGCAGTTCTATCAAGCTCCAATCATTACTGGGGGTTGGGTGATGGGTTCCATGGAAAATAAAATCTTTACTCTCCCCAAATTTCAATTTCTTGCAATAACAAAAGGTAAATACTCACACATCCATAGATAATAAAGTAGCTTCACAATTCTCTGGAATTCTAATGGTATGTCCACATTAAAGTCTTGGTAAAAACAGGGACCTACACAACACCATTTTGGTAGTGGAGGCCAGTTGTTTGCCCGTGCTGAAAGAAAAAGAAAATATATATCAAGATATCAGACCTCAGAGAATTCTGCATAAAGTTTATTTAATAAATTCAGATATCAAGAGACTTCAAAAAGTAATTTTGGCTCATTCTTCTCTCTTTCCTCTAAGCTTAATCACATTCTGTAAATATGTAGAAAGCAGAGTCAAATCCAAACACTTACCATCATACTGCATTGAGCGCATTTCCTGTTCCTTCCTTGCCAGTTCTGCTGCTTTCCTTTCCAATTCCTAAATGTACAAAGAAAAGTAAGAAACCTTTTCCAAAAAGTGTTGCCTTCAACACAGTTTTGAACACTGAAACTGCACCCAACTTGAAGTAAACCAATGTTCTATCATTCTACCTTTCATTTGTTAAGAACTTAAAAAATCAGACAAAAGAACTATATATTTATTGACAGGGAAATAAACATTTCTACAAGGCACCAGACAGCTCATTTATCATTTTTCACAGGACATCTCCATCTATTTGAATCCTGTACAATTAGCTGTCTGCCTACCTCTTGTCTCTTCTGTAAGTCATCAGTGCTGACACTCTGTGCTGGAGTTGGGGTGTATGCTGGTGGCTCTGACGGCTGCATCACGGCAGGCTGGGTGGTGGCTGGTTGTGGCCTCTGGGGGGCTGGAACTTGAGGCTGCTGAGCAGCAGCCTATGAAAACATTTTAATACTTGAGTTAAAATCATTCAGGTCTTCTACTCAAAATATATATCTACCTACAAATCTCTGCTTGTTTTTTTTTCTTTCAGATTATTATATTGGACATAAATTGACAAATTGGATATGTTTAATGCAACTGCAAATGACAATACAACAAGATATATATATATACACAATAATTAGTGTTCTTAGTTTCTGAGAACCAGCATCATAGTATGACTATATTCCATAAACCTTTCTTGAAAACTGACAATATTTTACAAAACAATGTCTTGTCACTAACAAAGAAAAACTACCTTGTGTCACCAGACACCTATGGCCATCTGATGAAAATGACATGAACTTTTCCTACCTAAAGCTACAACCCTCCCCTGAGACAACAAATCACTACCATGTGACCCAACAACTTGTGTAAGGTGAGTCAATTCTTTACTCGAGGGTTTATGGTTAGGTGTGGTCAAGCCACAAAAAGACAAAGTTTTATACCAACAATGAACTTGCTTCACTAGGCAATAAGGAGGCTGCCCAGTCTGTTGGAGGGCAAGATGGGATGCTAAGGACCCCACAGGGCCTCAGACATTAAAATTTTGGGTAATCAAATTTGAGTGTCTAGTGACAAATTCAGAGCTAGATTTGGGTAAAGACTTCAAAGACTTCTTCAAATGCAGGTTTTTGGGATGACAATGTGTTTGAAGCACAGCATTTTAAATGCTGACATGAAAAATGGTGACAGGACCGCATTAAGCATCACTGCAATGTCACATTATAAATGAGATAACTTACTGGTTTAGTTCCACCATCAGCAAATGGATTGTAATCATCCATTCCTGCTTGCCTCTGTCCTCTGGCTTGTTTTACTGAAGGGTCCTGGATTGAAAATAAAAAATTTGAAATATCATTCTTACACACCTTTCCCTTTTTTAAAAAGCATATCTGACAGAAGCTTATTAGATGCATCTGCCACGTTTTGTTATTCTTTAAATGTGGACTATACTTCACATGGAATGTTGCACATATGCCATCAAGAAAACATGCAGGCTATACAATGTGGTGGAACTGTTTTGATGTCTTTCAGGGATATGAGTAAAACTGGTTCCATGGTGCATCTGATTTTTAAAATTTGATTTTATTGGATATAATGCTGTTAGGACAGACTGATATTATGGTCTATATATATATATATATATCCCACCCATTCATATCTATTTGGATGTTATTTGACGTTACATATTTATATCTAACATTTTATCTTGAAACCATTGGATGAAGTACAGCCTCCATCCCCAGGTTTTTAAATGCATTCTCCTAAATCATTGCAGTTAAAGAACTATCTACATTAGACACAATTAAAACATGATCAAATTCAATGGGTTTAAATGAATGAATAAATAAACTTCATAAGTTACAAATATAAAGAAAAAAAAACATACAGGTTTTGTATTTGTATTTTGGGAAAAAAAAAGGCATATATATCTCTCTATTTCTACTATTGCTTGCTCTACTGACTGCACTGCTCCACATTAGCACAATGATTAATGCATCAAGGTCAAACACATGCTGAAATTTAACCACCTATTAAACCAGGACGGAGATTCCTATTTCCAGGAAGCTCATTACCGCATGTTACTAATGAGCAAACTTATTGAAATTGCTCCCCTTGACATACAGGCAGTCCCGACTGCCTATACTACAAAAACAATTTAAATTCAAACATTTGTGTGGTACTAATTTACAAGAAACCTAGCTGGTGCAGAAAATAAAAACCCACTGAGATAGAAATAAGGACAGTGTTTTTTTTTTTTTTCCACAGCAGATGGATGTTTGAAAGTCATATATCATACCAAGTTGATTAGGGCTCCCATTTGGGAATATGTAGTTCCAAATATATATGCAACATAAAGGGATGGTCTAGACTTATATTTCTGGTAATGAAACTATATTTTCACAGTCACTGACTAATAACTAACGGACTACAAAATCTCACTTTTGTTGCCATCCAAAACACAAAAATGCCTTTGATCATGGACTTATATTTTCTTCCGAACCTACCATTTTTTAAACGTGTTGTAAATGTAAAAAGATCTGCACTGATTTTACAAAATTTTAAAAAAAATATGTATAAAAGGAAACAGATACTTGGCTAATATGTAGGTATACCATAATCATTGCTTTAAATATAATTTTGCATGAGAAACATAACTGCAATAAAACACAGGTTGGTTTTGGAGCCTGGTATGAAACAATAACACAACAGATTGTATGGTACACTCAGATCTGAACGTGGGAGGTTTATATAAAAATATTAGAAAATTCATTAAGAGCACATTCAGAGTAGATGATCCATGGACTTACTGCTGCTATGCTGCTAATTCAGTGATGGTCTTCCTACCTCCACACACGCCTTTAAATATCTGGCTTACTGATTTAATTGGGTTTAATTAGGTTTAGTTGCTAGGTATCTGCAGCAGTGGTGCCTGTGGAGGCGGGGAAACCATCAGGGAATGAGAGGCATTGTTTTTGAGTGGGGGTTGGCAATATTTTGTTAGCAGATCAGTTAGTCCACTGATCATCTATTCTGATTGAACTCTGAGAAAAAAAAAACTGGTTTATCTGTCATGCTAAAATAGGTACACATATGGTAAAAAACATGAATGAAAAGTACCAAATTTTGAGTCTGTTGAGCAAAAATTTACTTTAACCCATAGCTAAATAATATGAAATGAATAACAATTTAAATAACATAAATGAATTTGGGACTGACTGTAGTGGGGTGACACGAGGATGATTTTAGTGCTACCCTCAACAAATGCAGTTGTCCAAATAACTGGTCCCTCATAAAAAAAAGGCATCAATATTACACCTTCTAAGTCATCATACCCTTAAATTTGCGTTTTTAACTTACAATTGCTACTAGTATGTTGGTATCCTTTATAAAATAATTCCCAACAAAAATTTTTTTAATTGAAAGTTATCCGTAATATACACATCTATTTTGGCAAAATATTTTAGCAGAACACATCAAGATCTGACCCAAGAAATTCTTGTGAACTTATTTTGTTTTCAGATATGATGGGTTATCATTGAAATAACAAAATTTCTTATGGCCACAAATGTATTATAAAAGAAAATATAAACAACGTAAAAGCAAATATCACATAACAGTCATGTGCTCATGTATAAGTAAGGGTGACTCATCCTTTCTCTGGAAATAACATAATAAAGTATAGACACATAAAGCTGCAGCATGTAATGAAATGAATGTGTACTGGTAGAACCTTTCCCTTATATAACACTAAAAGCATGGCAGTACAAATAGAGTCAAATGACCCTTGTTCTATTACTTCTGTATTTAAATGGTTATTATAGAGTCTTCAGGCATATGTCCAGATCAACTGAAAACTGGCAAAATAACAATGGCTATTCTTTCAGAGACTGTGACTGACATTTGTAAACACATCTGACGGACGCGTCTTAAAGAAATTTCTTTCGAACAACAGTACAAACAACACAAAGAAACCTGTTATATGTCGCAAATTTGTGACGTAAAACAAGCATTAATGACAATATCAAATCGCTGTAATTGTAAATGAAGACATTCTCATTTAAACCGGTTGAAGTGTGTACTAACCTCGAAGGGGTTTGCCGCCTCAGGATCTGCAAAAGGGTTAGCGTCTCCATAATCTGCCATACTATTATTATTTGATATTGACTAATTTATGTTTAACTGTTGTCTTTCATGGATAAAGACAAACTACACAGAGATGAAAGATCTATAAAATGATGGCTGACACTTTTCCTCATGTGCTCGCGCATGCGGTGTACACTTCCGGGGTGACGTCAACTACAAAAATTGATTAGATTTACGATGAACAAGCAGTAGATTGACTCGACCAAGCAGTAGTTGGTTTTTTTGCACACAACTCACATTTTGTGGACGTTGTCATATGTACTTTTCTTCTCGAAATATCAGAACACAGCGACTTGAAACTTGACCTAATTTCGCATCACATGATCTGAACAACTCGCGGAAGCCATATTTCACCGGCGAGCCTTCGTGGCAGTGAGAGTGGGAGCTGTGTTAAAAGTGACAATGGCTTCAAACGGCGGGTTTCAAAATTCGGGCTATAACAATGATCGACCCCCGTCATCCACGGGTAGCGGTGACGCAGATGTTGCAACCGATCCAGCTAGTAGTAGCTTCTTTATGAACGATTACAAGAAGTGAGTTTTTTGACACTAGTACAGTGCATTTGGCTCGTCTGTCACGGTGTCAGTATGTCATTGTCACATTCTTAATGTATATTCTTGTTTTTGACATTCTTGAATATTGATACATTGTCTGAATTCTTGAATTCAAAATTTCTGATTATTTTCCCCATGGAGTTTACATCCGGATTCTGTTAAGTATCCACTGCAGCGGGGTTTCATTAGTTAGTCTTTAACTAAAGAGATGTGCGTGAACTTTGACACTAAGGGACCGTTCACATGGAAAGTCTATTTTCTAAAAATCTATTTTCTATTCGCGGTATCTTGTGATCACGGTCTGTGCCCTGAATAACCCACGGCATAATTACTGGCAGCACGAGCCAGTTACTCCCTGCGCTGCCAGTAATTACGCCATGGGATATTCAGGGCACAGACTGTGATCCCAAGATACCGCGAATAGAAAATAGATTTTTAGAAAATAGACTTTCTATGTGAACGGTCCCTTATATTAGTGAGGGCTAAGATCTAATATATTCTTTTATTAGATCTTAGGTGAGGGGTGTTGCAGGATGGGAATTTGAGCACAGCATTTAATAACGTTTAAGAAATGTTTGCCTTCTTGTCTTATAATAGTTTATCTGAACGTGCATTGCTTAAATGTGTTTTCATTATGTCACCTTCATTTGTATATATCAAAATTTCAAATACAGCAATAGAAAACCTGTGGAAGTTAATTGTTTGTTTGTCTGTGTACAGGCATGATGACCTGAAGCAAATGCTGGACACAAACAAAGACAACCTAAAGCTGGAGGCAATGAAAAGGATTATTGGTGTAAGTATTGAATTGTAAGTAAATAAGTAAATAAATTAATTATTAAATAAATAATATCCCTTTTTTGTTAAGCACTAATTTCTTTTCTGACAGAAAAAATGTTTAAGTGTATGTGTCCTTTGCATGATAACTCATGTGATTCATACAGAAATAGAAATACACTACTGATATTGCATTTCTGTACTTATAGAGGCATCTTATGAATCCAAGTCTCTGGAGGAGTAAAGAAAAATAAAAATTTTCGTTTTAACAGAACAACTTATTTTAATGATGATAATAATAATAATAATAATAAGTTTATTGAGCACTAAATGGTATGAATACATTTTTAGGCTCAGTAGACTACATTATTTACACAATATATAAAGGATATACATTTATATATGTTTACATATGTATTATGCTTAAATTGCACATGTGTTAAAGCATGTTATGCTATAAGGTTAATTAATTAGTTAAGCTATTCACAGTATTATCAACAATTAGTGGCTGTGATGTACTAAATTGTAGGTGAACTATGTATTTTAACATCAGTTTTTACAAATTCTGCTATTACTTTGAGGCTTTTTTCACAGGGTGGATTCAGGAGAATTGACAATATCTGATCACTGTCCTCTAGACCCACCACACTGATTTTCAATAGCTCATCATGCATTCGTTGCCTTTCAACAGTGTATCTTGAACATTCCATGAGGAAGTGTTTTTCATCCTCTACACAGTTGCTGGTTTTACATTTTCTCTCATCAAGAGGAGTTTTAGGGTTTGTGTATCGGCCCCTTTCTATTGCTAGGTCGTGGTCACTTAGTCTAACTTTTGCCAGTGTTTTGATATCTAAGGAGGAGACACTCATTTTGATGTAATTTTGTAAATGTAATTTTATCAAGTAAATGAATCAAGTAAATTTTATAAATGTAATATTATCAAGTAAATGATGAAGTTGGAAACAATTCATTTTTTTCCACTTCTGTTTAGCTGATGTATATGATCACTGCAAATCTTTTATGGTTGCAAGAGCTTTGTTTTTATTAAGGGATGCTTTTCTGTGTCTAAGAATAGATATCTGAACAGTGGTATTGACTCAGCTTTCTTTCCTCTATATAAAAGGATGAAAAAGTCCCGAGAGAATGACTCTTCATTCATTATGTTCATCTAAGGGGGAAAGAGTAAATTTAACTTACAGAGTTAATTATTGCTGTGTATAAGAAGCAGAAAAAAGAACAGTGATTGATTTTCTGACTTTTGGTGTCAAAATGTAGAAGAATCAAAATTACTTGAAAATCTGACTAAAGCAGAGTCAAGATTTCAAAACAATTTGCAGTTGCTTTATAGACCTACGGCTTCATTATGCTGTTAAACATATTAATCTGTGGATTTCAGCATTTTGCAAAAATGATATTTGAAGAAATGAAAACATGTAAAAGAAGTTCATCTGCACACAGGTTTGCATACACAGAGACTGTCCTAGAGTTGAATAGCAATACATATAGTTCGATACATATTGTAATGTGAAATTATGTTAGATGTAGATTGAACTGTTTTGTTCTAGGATTTTACACATTTTTCGTCAGTTCGTGCTGTAAGTTAAAGAATTAGGAAATCCAACCCTTGCTATTTCCAAGAATGTTATTTCAAATCCCAGTGCACATTTGATCCTAGAAAACCATTCTAGTCAATAAGATGGGGCGTTTGGAGGTCAAGCTCATAGAGCTTTGGGGACTGGATCTGTTCGATGTGCCCACAAACTCATGAAATATAGATACCACAACTGGTATGATATTGGAAAGGCTAAAAATCAATACAGCTTAGTATTGTTTACTCAGACTTGAGTATTAGAGTTGTGGCTGTAAAATGTAGTTTTCGAGGCTGTTAGATTGAAATATTAGGATTAAGATTAGAATCCCTTGAGGCACTGTGGCATTTTCTTGTAAATTGTTCTTTGAAGAATGGGAGAATAGAGGGCAGTTGATAGTCATCCAGCCTGATTATCTAGGCTCAGTAAATCTTTCTAAGTAATTATTATCTTGATTTGTTCATAATCTTTATTTTGAATAAATGACAATGACCTTTTCAAGTTGCTGTCATGCTGATTATTCTCATACGATCTTTTTATTTCTATATTAAAGATGGTGGCCAAAGGAAAAGATGCTTCTGATTTGTTTCCAGCAGTGGTGAAGAATGTTGTGTCCAAAAATCTCGAGGTTATTATTTACAGTCTCTTAATTTTATCATTAAATGAATTGACATTGAAATAGGCATAATAAGAAGTCTATGGTTCTACTTACACATAACTTGTCTCATGCCATTATAACAGAAGATAAGAACAAAGGATTTACACTGTTACACCTGAGATAGTCATGACAATTAAACTAGTGGCCTTTCAGTAATATTATTATTCTTAGGGCATGGAGGAGATTTTTATACGTTGCTTATTTTTCCATACTAAACATGTTAACTAAATGAAATTATTTTGTTTGTGTCTTCAGGTTAAGAAACTGGTGTATGTATACCTGACTAGGTATGCAGAGGAACAGCAGGACCTGGCTCTTCTGTCTATCAGTACCTTCCAAAGGGCCCTTAAGGTACCCTCTCTCTCTCTCTCTCTCTCTCACTCTCTTTCTCTCTCTCTCTGTGCATGCGGTTCAATTAAAAATGTACAAATGGAATATGTGGACTTCTCGAAATTACAAAGGGTCTTTGGAAAAAAAAAGTTGATTAAAAGGGGAAGAAAACCAAATTTGTACTTATTTCAATATAAATCTGTAGCATTCACTCAACAGCCTACCTAAAAAACCTGAATCTGGCTGCATGACAAAGCCTATTTATTTGAAAGTGTGACTAGACAGTTAACTCTGATAAATTTTTTATTCGCATGATATTGTTTACAGTAAAAAAAAGACTCTCAGCTATGGAATAAAAGTATTAGAATATATTGCCTGACCAAAAGCATCAGCTTAGGACCTGATTTCTGCCTTATCACACATAACATATTTGTATCTGCAGGCTATCCTATTTGATTCGTGGTTAGAGAATACTGAACCTCGTAGGTTTTAGTCCAAATGACATTTATTTTCTATAAAGGAAGTGAATCAAAAAGAAATTACATACCTACACATGTCATGTTGTGAACTGCAGTATACTAACTAGGTTATTGATGTAGTTTATCATGTAATGTCTTCATTGTTCCTTCCTGCTGACTGTTCTTTGTAGATTTCAATTGCAAATTTAGAAATTGCGTTCAGATTCGAAATGTATTTGATTACTGATGATGAACTGGGTATAAGATGTCCTTTTTTCAGGCATTTATATAGCCAAAGATTTGCTTAAAGCTTTGCTATTGCAAACTTACTGAAATGATGAAGGACAGGCTTGAAAAGATGTCTGTGTCATGACAGTAACTTATTATTCCTTTATTTTGGGTCACTGTGGTGACTGTTGTTTTCTGCATGATTAAGAGATTTTCACAAGTTATATGTTAACAATTAATGCTGCAAAATTTTAATCTTTAGTATGTAATTTTACATCTGTATAAAGATAACATCCCATTCCATGTGTGGTGACATTTACAGGAATCACAAAAGTTATTTTTATTTATATTAATTACTAGGTAAGGAAAATTTTGGCATACAGGTACAGACTAATCCCTCCTCTGAGAAAAAGTGGTTTTATTGCATGGTTGCTCTAACCAATTTGAACACTTAAAAAACCTGTTTGCTCCATGGTCTCTCATGAACATCACCTGATTAATCTCTTCATTATTTTACCTTTATTTTCATAAGGATCCTAATCAGCTTATTCGTGCCAGTGCCCTGCGTGTGCTGTCAAGTATCCGAGTGCCTGTTATTGTGCCTATAATGATGTTATCCATCAAGGAGTCTTGCAATGACATGTCACCCTATGTGCGCAAGACGGCTGCTCATGCCATTCCAAAGCTGTTCAGGTATGTTCACATGATTTTATGTGTTCGTGTTATATTTTCGTCATTCCTGATAAGCGTAATTTTTTTAAGTTGGTAAAATTGGTGTAAAACTAATTTTATATGTTTTTGTTAATTTTATATTATATTGTTGGTGCACTGTAAAAGAAATACAGTCCTTTGACCCCGGTAAGTTGAGATGTTGTACATGTATGACCTGTGTAGAATAACCCTAATCTCCTAAAAATGTTTGAATTATTAGCACATTTAGAGAATTAATTTATTTATTATCTATAATTTTTATGTAATTAATATGTTGATTTATTTTCACAGCCTAGATCCAGAGCTGAAAGATCAGTTGATTGAAGTGATTGAAAAGCTGTTGGCTGACAAAACAACAGTAAGTCTACAAGTACCTCTCTATTTATTATGAATGTGGCTGAAAAGGACAGAAAATTGCAGATTAGAGATTTGTTTAGGCAATTGTAGCTGATGTTTAATTTTTGAATTTGAATTTTTAAAATTAAAGTTACTCTGATGTATATTTTTCAAGATATAAGGGTGCATTCAGAACCAGTTGATCTGAGGACTAACTTGTCCGCAGATCAAATATGGCGTGACCCGAGATTAATTGCTCTGCCCCTGGTGGGAGGCGTGAAACCATTGTCAAGTGCCCTCCATATTTGATCCGCAGACTACCTAGTCTGCAGTAACTTATTATTCCTTTATTTTGGGTCTAGCCCACAGATCAAATGTGGCGTGACCCACTTGAAAGCGTGCCGAGATTAATTTCCCTACCAATTGCTGGGAGGCTGTAATCCATTGTCAAGTGCCCTCCATATTTGATCCGCGGATTTAGTAACTTATTATTCCTCACCTAATCCTGAATTCGCCCTAAGGCAGACCAAAAAGCATTTATTTTTATGTATTTCAGCTGGTGGCAGGAAGTGCTATCCAAGCCTTCGAAGAAGTTTGCCCAGAGAGAATTGATCTTATCCACAAGAACTATCGCAAGTTATGCAACCTGTTGGTAGATGTTGAGGAGTGGGGACAGGTGGTCATCATCAACATGCTGACCCGCTATGCCAGGACACAGTTTGTCAACCCTAACAGAGATGTGAGTGCCCAGCTTGCTATTTACATTAGAAATTTCAAGTGACTTAGTTGAAACTGTTGTAAATGTATTATTGTTTGTGTGTAGAAAATACTAATAGTGGTTGTGCATTGTGATGTTGGTTGGAAAAGTATTGTACATGTATTATTTTGTCAGTTTAGATTATAAAACAAAGTGAAAAGTGGCAGAGGATGCTGAACAATTTTAGTTGAAAATCTATTGTAAATGTAACATTATGTCAGTTTATCAGGTCATGCAAATGTCTAATTTTATCATAGTTGGATTTCAAAATATCATTGGTCAAATGTTGTGCATTTAGAAGGAGGATGTTGTTGGGATATGTGCACTACATCATTATAGATATCAACTTTACCTTATGGAGATTTGCACAGAAAAGAAGGGTTGCTGGTACAAGAGAAAGTCTCATAAAAATTCTTTCAACTTTTTGTTAAGGTCAACATTACCAACTTTTTTTAGGATATGATAGAAGAAGAAAGTGAGAAAGCCTTCTATGGATCAGATGAGGATGAAGAGAAAGAAGACAAGGAGGAGGAGGAGGATGATAAGCCGAAGAAGAAGCCGTATGTAATGGATCCAGATCACAGGCTGCTGTTGAGAAACTGTAAACCCTTGCTGAACAGCAGGAATGCTGCTGTACGTTGATCTTGTAATTTTAGCAATTTGAGTGTATTATGATTCTGTTTGTCCACACGCTCTGAAGTGAAGGGAGAGAGAGCAGGGGTACATTTTTGTGTGTGTGTGTGTGTGTATATATATATATATATGTGCATGGTTGTGGGTATACTAGTGTGTTTGTGCGTACTGTTTGCATGCATTTGTATGGATGTGTATATATGTGTGGGAGAAAGTTACCAATTTTACCAATAAACATATATTTTTGTTTGTGCAGGTTGTTATGGCAGTGGCACAATTGTATTATCACTGTGCACCCAGAGCTGAGGTTGGAATGGTTGCTAAATCATTGATAAGGCTGCTAAGGTCTCACAAGTAAGTAGATAACTGGGAATTTGATGTATTAAACAATATCAGTTGATATTATCAAAATGAATTTTACAAATCTCATTTCTTTTGTAAAAAAAAAAAAAAGTGCTGGGAATGGTATTCATGAAGTGATGTGCATCTTTGTATTGTTTTCAGGGAAGTGCAATACATTGTCTTGAGCAACATAGCCACCATGTCTGTCAAAAGAAAGGTAAGATTAAATATGATTTATAAAATACACTACAAATGTTACTCTTTTTCTAACATCATACATCCAGTTCTGCTTGTAAAATGGTATTTATCGTTTTATTTGAACAAAGCATATTTATAGAAAAACTCTTTAATATGTCACACAGCATTCTGCTTAAAACATCATTTTTGAAATATGCTAGATTTCATATTTTTCTTATTTATTTCAAGGGGATGTTTGAACCTTTTCTCAAGAGCTTCTATGTCCATTCCACTGACCCTACCCATGTGAAATTATTGAAGCTGGAGATACTTACTAACTTGGGAACTGAGACAAGTATCTCAACCATTATTAGGGAATTTCAGGTAAGTACCCCATGGAGGAGGGAGATTTTATCAGCTTTTTAGATCCAGTATTAAGAATGTTTGATTGGTGGGAAATATCTATAAAAAGACCAGTATGTATGATAGAATGCCAGTACAGTGTGGATAAATCAATAACAATCATCCTTTTTAAAGAATGCTCTACAGAAAAATGTTTAACAATTTTTTCCAGACCTATATTACGAGTACAGACAAGGAGTTTGCTGCTGCTACTATTCAGGCCATAGGCAGGTGTGCCAGCACTATACCTGAGATCACAGACACCTGTCTAAATGGACTGGTCAGACTCATGTCTAATAGAGATGGTAAGTGAACATAAGGCACCTTCTTGGTGCATGGTGTCTATAAGTAATTTGGTGATTGCAATTACTCATTTATTGCTAATTGCTTTCACCTTGCCTTTTCCAGTGTTTAATCTTATCAAAATTGTTTAATTGTCAATTTTAATTCATTCTCCCAGATTCATGGGTTATTGCTGTCACCTTGCCTTTTCCAGTGTTTTATCTCATTGGAATTGTTTAATTGTCAATTTTAATTCATTTTCCCAGATGTCTAGATGGAATAAGAGTGGTTTAGGATGAAAATTTTCAGCATATTTTTAAATTTTTCATTTACAGAAACTGTGGTTGCAGAAAGTGTGGTGGTAATTAAGAAACTTTTGCAAATGCAGGTGAGTATCTGATCATCCATAAATACAGTATTAATTATTATAAGATTAATGTAGAACAAGGAACAGTTCTAATTAGTTTTTGTAATGACCACTCAGTGAATGAACAACAAAGATTTAAAAAGCAGTTTTAAGCAATTCTTGTTAATGATATTAACTGTTTGATATAAGAGTCATATTATAATACACACACTGTTTTACAAAAAATGTTATGCAAATGAATTTTGCAAAGCTTTTTGTGCATTGCTGCCCTTCACTTTCCCTCAGAATTCCATAATGATTTATCTGATTTTGATGTAACTTTGGTTTTTACTCTTCTTTAACACTAACAGAAGAGGGAACACAAAGTGGTGGTAATCATTGGCTTATGGGACAATTTTACTACTTAAAGCATGTTTTATTTATTACACTATGGTGTATATAAGCAAACCCTTGGTGGGAGCATTCACCCATTTTCAGAAACCATTTTGGGGTGGATTTTGCCTGTCCCTTCCAAAGATTGAAGAAAGACACCAAGCCCAGTGGAGCATGTTTTATATACTCATCAAATTCTGCACATTTTTTTCAAAAATTAGCCCCTTTCTTATTTTTCATAATTTTTCACATTACATTGTCTATGGCATCCATGAGTGGGGGGACCATTGGAGATAATAGAAGAATCATTCATTCTGCATGAAGGTTATCTGCCGTACTTAATTGACTAGCTTGAATATATTTTAATTGGTCAAAGGTGGTATGGTGGCATGGTTTTTTTTTATATATTTAAACTATAAGGCAAAATAATCAGTGTATTTGATGTGTAAATAAAAGAGGAAATTTTTAATTAAATAATCCATTCATACCTGCTACTTTACTAATAATTAAGATGTTGTCCTGCTTATGTAGTCTACTCATTTTAATGTCTTTGTGTTTTTCTACTGAAGTTGGGGCCAACTGCATGCAATACAACTGAGTAAGACATACCCTTTTTTTTTTCGAGGGGCATCTTGTCCATTACTCAGTTGATAATACTTTAATTTATTAACAAATTTGGATTTTGTACTAATGATCTACTAATTTTGTCACAATTTATATTGATTCCATAAGTAATCCATTGCAGTTGGAAATGAAAGAAATGACGCATTTTGCTCCTTTTTTTTTTGTATTCTTTTTATGAATTGTTTTGCAGCACCTAAATAACTAGCAATTTCAGAACAATTTATTGCATTTTGCTGTGCTTTTAACAAACTCTGTCATCTCTGCCGTGACTGTGTATAGTCTACGGATTCTGTCTCACAGCCACAAGAACACAAGGATATCATCGTCCACATGGCCAAGATGGCCCAGGACATCACAGTGCCCATGGCCAGAGCTAGCATCTTGTGGATGATTGGAGAGTATTCGGACCGAGTGCCTAAAATTGCTCCTGATGTGCTGAGACAGTGTGCAAAGAATTTCATCAATGAGGTATGTCGAAACTGTGAAGAATTTGTGGAAATTGTAGCATTGTTCTACAATTCACATATCACCATAACTTTTTTAAAAGTTATTCTTTTAAGAAAATACAGAGCTTGTTTAAGAAGTCTTATGTTTTTAAACGATAATTTAAATTTATATATCATTGGAATTAAATGAGAATTTGCTGTAAAACTATTTAATTAAATCACTTAAATCTTACAGGAAAATCTCTTCTATTTATCTAGGAAGATATTGTTAAACTTCAAATCCTTAACCTAGCAGCAAAGTTGTGCATCACGAACTCCAAGCAAACTAAGCTGTTGTGCCAGTATGTCTTCAATTTGGCCAAATATGACCAAAACTATGACATCCGTGATCGTGCACGCTTCCTCCGGCAGCTTATCATCCCTGGAGAGAAAGCTGGAGCTTTTGCCAAGTATGCGAAGAAGATGTTTCTTGCAACAAAACCAGCACCTGTTTTGGAATCAAAGTTTAAAGACAGAGATCAGTTCCAGTTGGCTACTCTCTCTCATGTGCTTAATACCAAGGCAACTGGGTATAGAGAAATTCCGGATTTTCCCGAAGTAGCTCCAGATCCAACAGTGAGAAATGTGGAGGTACCTACAGCTTGGGTGGCAGATACCAATCTGCTTGCTCAGAAAAAGAAAAAGAAAGGTGGCAAAGTGAAGCCTGCTAAAAAGAAATCATTTTATTCTGATGAAGAGTCAGGTATGTGTAGGTCTTTTTCTGTGTGTATGTAATGCTAATCCAATGATTTTGTATGTGTACCAAAAACTACAGATTAGGACTTTTTTGTGCAGCAACAGCTCTTCAAAATTAAAAATTAAACGATGATTGTGGTGCACACATGCACATTGTTATATATAATTTCCAGACTTGTGTAAAATTGATAAAAACTGATTTATGCATTTGCATTAATGTAGAAGAAGAAGATGAAGATGAGGAAGAAGAAGAAGACAGCTCTGATGAAACTGATAGCAGTGAAGAGGACAGTTCAGAGGAGGAAGAGGAATCAGATGAGGAAGAAGATGAAGAAGATGAAAAACCCAAGAAAAAATCTAAGAAGGTTGAAGACGAGGAAGATGAAGAGTCAAGTGAAGAAGTCGATAGCAGTGAGGAGGAAGAATCAAGTGAGGAAGAGGATGAAGAGGAAGAGAGCTCCGATGAAGAACCCCAACCTAAGGTAGGGGAATTTGTTAGTTTCATACAATCATGACAGTGTTAAAAGTTGAAGCACCTTAGTTAACAGTGAGTTAGCTTATATGTCACTAGTGCCCATACATAATTATTGATATCATAATGAGAATTCTTTTCAAAGCCTTTAAAAATTAGTAAGTTAATTTTCTTTGTTTGTTTGTTAATTTTTAGGCCAAGTCCACCAAAGCTAAAACGGGGGCTACTTCCAATGCAGCCATGCTGTTAGATTTAGATTGTAAGTATTGCAACATGTGTTCCATCAACAAAAATGACTGGGAAGAACATATGCATTAATGTCTTGAATCCAGTGTTAGTTCTTACATGGCAGTCCATTTAACTCTGCTCTTCTCTAAAGTTCTTTTGTTATACTACAAGCATCAGCATACATTTGCTGTAACATAGCACATTCTGTAGGTGATGCACATCTCAAATAACAACTAACACAATTCCTTTTCCTCATTAGTGACAATGTCACTAGGAGACACCCTTGTCAACCAAGATGCAGAGGAGGCAGAGGGTAAATTAGATGTAAACTACATGTATACTTGTTGGCCAACAATGTGTCTGATTAATTAAAGGATAATATATTTTACTAGGTCAGCAGTCCAAGAGGTTTTTGGTGTAATAGCATGGAAAAGGGTTGCTCTGGCTTCTATCTTTTCAACTTGCTTTTATCTTTAATCTTTATATTAATTTTTTTTTTCTGTGATTAAAAATTAAGTAATAACTAGGAAGATGTGTAAGTCTAAGATACATTATGTACTCATATCCATGTTTGTGGTTTGCACAGATAAAAATCTTGCATATTGTTTTAACATTAAAATGACCAGTTTGATAGGAAATGATACATAAACCAGATATGTAACAGATATGTATATGTAAATTGTTATATATATATATATATATATATATATATATATATATATATATATATATATATATATATATATATATATATATATATATATATATATATATAATTTTATTGTTATTATTATTATCAAAATAAAACTTAATGCATACAGATCATTTTGATTAATAGCATGACTTGGTATAGCTGGTTGTTGGTTGGCTTTATCTTGCTGTTCAAAAAGTGCATGATAGGATGAAGTAAGAAATCTGAAACTGTTTGAGTAGAAAAATATCAGTTTGTACCACAGAGGGCACATGTGTAGACTAACATATGTTGGGCTAGTTTTCCAAACATTTTCATGATAATCCATTAAGGTTTTCTATTTAGAAATGGGTGAAGGTGAAAAGGTACCAATTTGTATTATACAAATAATAATGTTGACATGAATTTGCATTCTTGTGTTTCAGTTGGCAGCACTGTAGCTAATCCAGCAGCAGTTGGGAAATCTGACTTCTTGATGCCAGTCCTTGCACAGGACATGAGTAGCCTCTCAATAGGAGGTGACACAGGAAGATCCACCACAGTAAGTGTGACAGAGACATTTTTTTTTAGTTGGGAGGGGAGGAGGCTTGATGTGACATTGTTGTAGATGTGACAGTGTGGTGAGTGTAAAAGTTAAAAATGCATGTGACAGCATGGTGCAACAGAGTCCTTGGTTTGAGAATTTTTTAAGTTGCTTATGGTTGTAACTCACAGTTGTGGCAGGTGTGACAGTGTGATTGATGGGACAGTTTGGTAGGTGTGACATAGACCCCATTCCCAGAGATTAGATCAATCCAACTAGATTGACCTAACTGCCTGAGGGTTCACGCTAAATAGCTGTCAGCCGAGCAGGCACGAAAGTTGATTACCCCCTTACAGCTTGTAGTAGGCGGGACGGACATTTAAGCCAGATTATCTGCCAGTAATCTAGTGAGATTCCCCACTGGGGTAGATCGACCTAAAATCTATGGGAATGCACCCATAGTAGTTATTGTTTTGTATGATTGGGATGTAGGTGTTGAGAATAAGTAGAATCCTATCAAATTTTTAAACTTTATTTGTAGGTCACTGCCCCATCCTTCATACCAACCAAAACATATGAACTGCTGAACAGAATCACTGGGGGTGGCCTGAGTATCACCTACAGGTTCACCAGAACAGTGTCAATATTTTCTGAAAAAATGGCATCAGTGGAATTGACTTTGACGAACTCCAGTGACAAACCTGTTCTTAATGTGAAAATTGGAGACAAGGTAGGCAAGGGCAGACCATTTTCATGAGACAAAGTGCATTTAGAATACCACGCAATAAAACTTAAACTCTAGATTTAACTTAAGTTTGATATTAGATTTAAACAACATAAACATAATATGTGGCTATCCTACTGTTTTGGTAAGCATTGGTATGTACACATTCCATAACTTGTATTTTTGATGAATATTTCAGAAACTTCAGTCTGGAATGGAGATTTTTGATTTCCCTGAGATTGGTAAGTTATCTTACGTTTTATGTTTTAAAGGATTTATTACATGCGTCTTAGTAGTTGAAAACAAACTGTTAAATATTTTTTTAAAAGTTTGCCAACTTTCATTTGTTAATGGCTTACACCATATTTATTTTAGGTAACCTTGGTGTTGGGGCCACTGTCACAGCGACTATGGGCATCAATTTTGCTGACACCACCCAGCCAGCCACTTTCGATGTCTGTACACAGGAGAAAAAATTTTCTGTTACAGTGAAGGCACCTGTTGGAGAACAAATACAGCCAGTTAATATGGCAGAGAATGAATTTGACAAACAGCAAGGTATGTGATGTAGTTTCTGTGTGTTGTCTATTATGTTATCTGTTGTGAAAAGATAATTTGAATTAGCATGAATTTCAAATATTTTTTCATTTTTATAAAAGAACCTTTTTCATGTTTTGCCTTGTGCCATAAAATTTTGTTTATTTACTAATCAGAATAAGACGAAAGGGATGTATTTTAGTCTGTAAAGGTAAAAAAAAAACATTGAATTTATGTTCACAGTTATAATAAATTAATTACACATTTGTTTTTAGGTAAATTATCAGGAATGAATGAAAACAGTGGCACCGTGGATATGGCAACTGAAAATACAGACATCAAGACTATAAGCAGGAGAGTGTATGAGGTGGCCAATGTTGTACAAGTGCCCTCAATGCAAGACAATACCTACAAGTTTGCTGGCAAGACTCTGTCAGCAGGTGCCCTGGTGCTCATCTCAGTCAAACTTGATGGGAGGAAAGCAGCATTGAAAGTGAACTGTGAGAAGATGGTCATAGGCTCCATGCTGCTCAAAGACTTGAAAGATTCCATGACAAAGAAAGACTAGAAGCCATTAAATTACTTACTTGGATACGATTTCGTTAAAAACTGATCACTGTGATTTCACAGAAGTGAACTATTATGTATGTCAAATTCTTATGTTTTCGTTGCAAATTATTCAAGAAAGAAATTAAGTATGATGGCGCAAACCTCATTTGTTGTTACTGCATAGATTTGATTTGCTTTGCTTTGCGAAACATTGTTTATTATGATAATACTGTAATGGAGAAGAACAAAGAGAAAACAAAGGACAAACTTAGTTCAATCTCACAACTTAATTTTTGGAAAAAAATAAATATGTGAACACAACATAGGTGAAATGACCTTTCTAAGTTTCTTGGATTAATCCTGTATCAATTTTGATTCTATCCAAATAGTTATATGATATTGTGAAACGGCAAAATAAATTTACTGAAGTCTGCGAAAAAAGAAAGGTTCATATAAATCCTCACAGATATTAAAATATGCTTAGGTAAATGGTGTCTTTTCTTATTTTTTGATCAAAGTGCAGTTATGAATATTTTGTTGATAAGAAACGGTATAGAGGAAAATGGCAAGTTATTTTCAACCATAACCTGTAAGTATGCATGGTGCAGTAATATATTGAAAATAACAAGATAGTTTTAAAAATAATTGAAAAAATCACTGGCTAAGTCAATTTAATTAAAGCTACAAGAAAGCTTTATAAGCAACAGTTAATGGACGAATCAAAATGGACTGACGCACAGAATTGATCCACAATAGTAAAAATTATTTCAAATATGTCAGTGAAAATGGTATACTTTCAAAATACTGTAATAAAAATATAATTCAACATAAAATTGACAAGATCCAGCTATTGCTATAAAATTAATACTTAAATTCTAATACAAAAGTAAATGATGGAATGCTTAAAAAATCCACCAATAAGTTCAACCACAACAAAAATTGTTTCAGTGAGCATAAATGTACTGTAAAAATGTTTACCTCCTTGGTTTAACATAATGTAAAAACTGTAAATATAATACCAACTTTAGCAATACCAACAAGTAAATTACTGCATCTGTAGCAAAAACTCAATTAATGCACATGCAAATGTTAAATCCCCTTTAAATTATTCCATATAATCTTGAATACTTATAACTGGAATCATGACTGCATCATCACATGCAAACGTTAAATACCCTTTAAATTATTCCATATAATCTTGATTACTTATAACAGGAATCATGATTGCATCATAAGTAAGTGCATTACAATGGCAACTATGTTGCCTTTACTACAGGCATCTTGTTTTTATCACAGCAAAAGCTGATAACCATAAGCATCTAATAATAAGCTTATCCTCAGCTTATCCTTTTAAAATTAAGTAATCACATTAACATGTCTAGTATGTCAATTTATAACTCAGTCATGCCAAAAATAATCAAATGCTGTGTTTATGGGAGGAGCAGTGCAGCATATGGTAAGTAGAAATGTACATCCGCCAGTATCAATGTTTATACATCCAACTAGCTCATTAGTGTCAATAGTAAGTGTAAGTCTTGGCTATCCCAGTCATTTTACGTTTGATTATGATTACTAGTACATTCTTGGTCCCACTGTACGTGGCAAGATAGCAAATTTTACAAGTACTAATACATACTGTCAGTGAGTCGATTAATTATATGCAGTCTTGAAATTTGCAATGTATGTTCCTCATCAATGGTGCAATTCATTTTAAAATAGTAACCAAACATCACTAGTACATTCTGCAAATCACAATGTTGAACAAATGCTTCAAAATTGGCTTAAACCACTACTCCGATTCATTACATTTGTTTAGGTCATACTGAAATTCATATGTCCATATATGCAGCAGTCCTTTCATGTAGACATAAGGCCTGTAATTTATGAGCTGGAACCCCATGTTTTTATACAGACTCCTTGCAGCGTGATGAACTTCAGTAGTCAATAAAAATATGCTGTCATAGTTATGACTCATACAAAATTCAATACTGGTTGCGACGAGTTTCTTTGCAATGCCTAATCCTCTGTGTTTTTTAGATACCGCCATGCGCCTTAGCCACGCCACTCTGTTGTTGTCGTTTTTTGTGTTTTCTTTTTGAACAATAGCAATTGTCCCAACGACTTCACATCCATCCTTCACTGCAACCCAAAAATGCTCGTCTGGTCTTGAAAAATACACTTTTTGTACTTCTTTCATATCCCAGAGAGGTGGGCCCCATAAGTAATACAGAACTCCGAGAAGCAGAAGTAAATAAAGTCCTAGGCATAGGATGGGTAACGTCAACGCTGTCAATAGAATTCTACCCGTGTAGCCGTACACTACAGCACATGCAAACGAGAACAACGAGAACACGCTTGGTCTTTTTACTGCAATCAGGAAAGACGGCCAAAGATTTGTGAAGCTGGCCTCAGCAAGAACGATTTTAGTTCCAGCTGCATACCCTGGCTTCCATGGTTCGATTTCTATTCCCATCTTAAGACTTTAAGCAGAATAATTAGATACAACGTACATTACTATCAGTCATGTTGCATTTTATTGACCTTGACCCATTCATATCTAATTGGTCAACTTCCTGTCATGCGCATTACATACGCTTACTTCATTTTCAAATATCAACTTTGAGTCAGCCTAGTTGGTTACTCACATCACTTGACAACTATTATAAAAAGATCTGACTTTTCATTTAAGCTTTAACTCCTGGACGTGCAACAATGGCAGATCCAAGAATCAAGCAGATTAAAATAAAAACTGGAGTCGTTAAAAGGTACTTCATACTTGCTAACTTGTATCTACCTGTAGTGTGCGGTGTTCCCTGGCCCAGTAGCCTAGGGTAATGCTAGTAGAGAGGTCGAAGATCAATAATACTGTTAATGGTAGCAGGTGTAAACTCAGCAACAGTCTGTTTAAGGCACTTAAAAGACAGCTATTTCTTAAAGTTTTCTTCACTTCAGAACTGGTAATAATGTTTATGTCGTATAGCTCAACCTAAAATTTGCATAATTGACCACTGTATGTTCAGCTAGGCACTGTTATGAGTTTTTCCCTATTTTTTTAATTTTTAAGTTGGCATTCCGTGAAGACAAATCGACACAAGAGTATGAATTTATAGACAGCAAAGTTTTTAATGCGCACCAATTTTTTTCTGAAGCCCAACAGAGAATGTATAAAAAGTAAAGCAAATACACTCAAGAACAAAAATTTGGTTAATTAATTTTATTGCCTATACATATCATATGAGCTGTTTACAATTTTTCAGACTTGCAAAGGAGAAGACTATGTATGAGAAGGAAGCAGTTCAACAAGAGGAAAAAATTGAAAAAATGAAAGCAGAAAATGCTGATGAGTATGACATAAAAAAACAAGTTAGTTTCTTATTTGTTTATTTCATCCTTTGTTTAGGATTTAATTTTTGAATAATATAGGCAATAGATCAAGTTAGTCATGGTTATTTATTAACTCTGTACAGTCAATGTCTAGGGGATCTAAGGAGGTTAATTACTCAATCTTTTTAATGGGCAAAAATAATCAAACTTTCAGATGTAATTTTATGATCATGAAATTATATTTCTATAATGCATATAAGGTGTTTTTACTGCATTAAATAGAACCATAGAGCAGCCTGCTTTTAAAATATTGTTGCTACCACTCAATAGGAATGTTCTAATTTTAAGAAATTATGACTTAAAAAATACAGCACAGTAAAATTCACAATTTCCCCCATTGAAAAGATCAAGTAATAACCATAGTTTCACTGTGTGATAGTTTGAACAAAAGACAATTTTTTGTTTGATTAAGATAAATTTTGTGATTAATAGCCATAATAAGACTTTAAATGCTCTAAAAATACCAGTAAATGTAATAAGACTTAAAAATGCCAATAAAATCTCAAAAACTTCTTTAAAAGAAGCACTGATATTTGAGAACATGTATTAATGGTCCTAGTGGCCTGAGATGATGGTATATGACACTGCCACTGGACCTCAAGGGGACAGCATTTAAAACACATTTGAAATCTGGTTCTTGGTATATTTGGCATCAGTTAAGTGCCACTGCCACCCACTATACTTTTGAGATGTAAGTGATCAGTCTGAGGTTTACCTTGTGTTGCACAGTTTAGCATAGACCTGCCAGTAACCTGAATTTTCAGAACACTTTACCTGCCATAAAAAATAAGTTAATTATTCAAAGTTTTTCATAATATTTTTTTTCAGACTGAAGTTCTTCAAGAGTCTAAAATGATGATTCCAGACTGCTTAACACGATTAAAAAAGGCTCATGGTGAACTTGCAAACATGTTGGTGAGTTTCCTTTTTATTTAGTATAATTCTGATGTTGGAGATTATTTTCACAATAAGGTATTTTTTTGATTTAATCACAGCATATTATTTTATAATTTCTTATTTATCAGTTTAATCTATTTTTATGTAAGCCAAAAAAAAAGGAGCATTCACAACAGCGGCCATTATGATGGATTATTATTATTTTTTTTGATGATCTTGAAAAAAAGAAAAAAAAAGACACCTGCACCAGTGTCAAATTTACCATGTAACACAAACAGCACATTCAGAACAGATGATGCGCAGACTAAATATGGTTGTCCCCACATAAAAAGTAGCCAGTTATAATCCCCTGATGGTCTCCCCACCTCCAGACTCACTATCCCTGCAGGGACCTAGAAATTTAGAGTGCATTCCCAGAGATTTAGATCGATCCATCTGGATCAACCTAACTCCTTGGAGGTTCACACTAAATTGCAGTCAGCTGAGCGCGCACGACAGTTAATTACCCCCTTACAGCTTTTAGTAGGCGGGACAGAGGCTTAAGCCGGCTAAGCTGACAGTAAATCTAGTGAGACTCTCCACAGGGATAGATCGATCTAAAATCTGTGGGAATGGGGTCTAAGCCTCAGAGCCAAGATTTACTCAGTTTAATGGCACGTGTGGAGGTGGTGAGACCATTGTGGTTTAAGTGGCTTCCTTTTATGATGGGTCAGCCATATTTAGTCTGCAGATCATCTGTTGTGAATATGCTCGTACTTTGATTATTTCAGGAGGTAGAAAAGGAACTCGCAGAAACCGAAGAATATGTAGCTGCCCAAGAAATCCTAACACAAACCGAAGAGGTTATGCAGAGTTGAACAGTGTGTGATTCATACATTGTGTATGAACAGAGATAACTGATGTTGATTTAGACTGTCAGGTGTGACATTTGGTTGGTTGACTCACAGTATCGGGGTCACAGCACTGTGATAATGTGGCAGATGTGTGTCAGTGTTATTTATAGCAATTATCAGCAGTGTTCTCTGTTTGGTTTCTTGTCCCTTTAGCCATAGCATTCCACCGTGATCTCTGGATACAACTATTTAAACTATCATCATTTTGACAATGGTTTGAAAATTAGTTTCTTCATTAGACAGTTTTGGTGGAGTTTGTTCAAAGATTGCATATTTTATAAACTTACTTCATCCCTAGAACTGTAAAAATTAGAAAATTATGAATGTAAAAATTACTGTATTCGTACCGAGTACACTGTTTTTATTTATTTTTTTTTTTTTCGTAATTTGACTCTCAACTTTAAAATGGTCACTATATTGCATTTTTTAAAAATTTCTTGCTTTAAATAAAATATTAAACCATAATAAAATTTTATATCTTTATTTTACAAGAAACTACATTTCAGTATTTCTTATTGCCTATTTAAGCATTTTTTTTGTTGCAGATTTCAGAAAAAAATTAATGTGTATGTTTTAAATGCAAATGTTGAGGCTTAAAAAATAATACAATTTTGTAACAAGTAAATATCACAATACAAAAACATAGCTTGATATATGCTACATTTAGCAATACCACTAAAATATAACAAAAGATTAACTTCTGACTATTAAAATCTTGAACAAGATTTCGCATGAAATGGAATGTATTTTAAAGCTTAAAATATAGTTGACAGCAATAGCAAAAACATTACAAAGTTAACAGTACAAACTAAAAGGTGAATCTCAGAGATACATATACACTGTATTGAATGACTAGTGGGAAAAGATCGAGCATTTTCACATTGAGCCTTATATCTTAGCAGTTCAGCTGTACTATTATGCTCTGCTAGGTCCTGCCACCTGCCTTGTATCTACAGTACATGTGGGCTCCATTTAGGGGACTCTCTTATCCAATAGACGGGCTCGTCTCAAAACACACCGACACAGCCCTACTGTTAAGATATTACACTCGATGTGAAAACACCTTTAACCTCGTGTAACACAAAGCTGTATCAACACCCTGTCTAATTATTCTTTAAATGTAAGTTTGATACAGTGAGTGGGATTACAGTAATCTATGACTACCAGTAAGAATTTTTTCTGCAAAACTGGGTTTAAAATAACAATAAAATAGTTATTTCTCAAAAGCTTTCTATATATATCACATTAATAATCTGAGCATGGTAATATACTTAACACAGTTATTAAATATAGCCATAACTTCATCCTTTTATGGACAGATTGCAAACACAAAATTTTGACTGCTGCCCAGTATCATTGCACCATTTCTTAACATGACTTTCAGGGTCAGAATTCCTGAGCAGTATTCTCTATGCCATACCTCAGTAATAAGCGTCGGAGTTAAAATGATACAAAATTCAGCTTGCACAGCATCTCTAATACGCAGTCCCTTACATGTTCACTTTCTCAACAACATTTTAAACATTTTTTCATGCTATGGAAATTTTTGATCCGTGCTTGTTCTCCTGTAACATTTGTTTAAGCAAATGAGCTTAAATGTTAAGTCATTAAAAATCTGAAAAAGGTGATAAATTGGCAAATAATATTTCTGTTGTTAATATGCCAGAGTAATACCAGTTTACTTGGAAATGCAGTTTTAGTTTCTTGGTGCTTTGGGAGTCTTTGGTTTGCAGCTTCTCTTGTGAACCAGCAGCCTGTCTGGCAGAAAGGTGCGTCCACAGATATCACAGGGCACCAGGTTAGCTTGTGCACTCTCCCATGCTGCTTCATTCATTGCGTCGATGTCATATGTTCCTTTACCTGGTAATTAGTCAAATAAAATATTCAGAGTGGGAATCGACTGACCATAGTTTCACAACTTGGCATAAAGCGAGATTTCCTGGAGTTTAGAGGGGAGTGGGGTCAAAATGATTTCATTATTAGCAACTTTTTTAACAGCCCATCATACAGAATATTTTTATTGATATGTACACAACAACAACAACAACAACTTTTGGAAAAGGATTTAGCTTACAAATCTAAAAGGCCTCTAGTAAAGAGTTATTTAAAAAGAACTGTTTCACACAAATTCTGCTGTTTTATATATCATACTGCAAGATTTTTATGCTACCTGTGACTGGGCGGACTTCAGGTTTCTTCGGCACAGGCCTACGCAGATGCTTAGGGAGTTGGTTGTTCTCCATATGCCATTTCTGGAGGCACTGAGGTTCGTGGATAGAGATAGATTTGCTGCCATATTCACGTCCACAAATGTAGCAGATCACAGTGGGTGGCCGGCGCATTGCAGGGGGTTTTGATTTTGGTCTCTGCTCATAAAAAATATATCTTTCACACATTGCGTAGTTATTCTTTCATGCCAATATAATAAATAACAGACTAGTATGAGTTTTAAGGAAAGGAAAACATACCAAGTAATAACAATTGTAACAATTAACAGAGGACAAAAAAGAACAGAAACAACCATCTGATTTTCAAATATTTAGAGATCTATGAAAATGAAAGCATCACTTTATGCATACTGGTACTTTAGGGGTTTGATACAAAGGCACAGCTCTCAAAAAGACTTACATACCTCTGAATTTTGTGTACTGCCTCTAGATGTCACTGGTCCCAGTTTCGCAGTCTTCATGTGCACAGGTGTTCTTGTCCCAGTTTTAGGTCGACATGCTCTTTGATGCACGGGGAGCCTATCTGGCTGAAATGTACGGCCACAGTTTTCACAGGGGACCAAATTGGATTGGGCACTTTTGTATGCTGCATCATTCATCTCTTCCCTGAAAAGAAAAAAGAAAGCATAATTTATGTTATGATGAGCTACAAACTCAATTTGAATATTTTTCTCTTCAATTACTGTATATAACAGAATTGTAAAAAAAAAAAAAAAGTTTTAATAAAGATATTGTTTGTTATATATGGTTAAAAGTAATTCATTAATTCACCTGCTCATGGTTATCAGCAAGCTTTGTGTACTTCCCTAAAACATCAACACTAACCTTGTTGCCCCTGCACTCCCTGCTTGTGGTTTCTGGGGTAATTGTTTCTTTTGGTTGTTAGGTAGTTTAGCATTTTCCCTCTTCCATTTTTCCAGACACTGTGGCTCATGAATAGGCAGAGACTTACTCCCAAACTCCCTACCACAGACATAGCAGATCAAAGTTTTAGGAGCTCTTGATGGTGAATTATCTCTATGGCCATTGGTTACTGTACTCGGCCCACCACCTCCACTAGATGGCTCTGCTGTAAAAGTAGCACCTCTGTCTAACCCATTCATGGGAGCTAAATTACGGTTTGCTCTGACAGAGTTTTTATTTTGCCCTGTGCCTGTGGCTGCAGTGTTGGTCTTGGGTTTACATGATCTCTGATGAATCAATAATCTGTCAGGTTGAAATGTACGGCCACAATTGGGACATTCAGCTAAATTACTCTGTGCATTCTGCCTTGCTGCCTCATTTTGCTCATTCATATTACCTGAGGTACCAGGTTTTTGCGGCAAAGGTCTGCGTAGTTCTCTTGGTAACTTATCATTTTCTGCCTTCCACTTCTCTAAACACTGTGGCTCATGAATGCTTAAGGACTTCGAGCCAAACTCTCTGCCACAGATATAACACACTAAAGTCCTAGGCCCACCTCTATGTGGTCCTGTAGAGGGGTCAGTGCCACCATCTCTGGGAACACCTGCTGACTTTGGTTGGTTGTCTCTTCTAGTTTGTTGTGTTCCATTATTCATTGTGAGTCTTTTTCCACCACCAGAAGTGTGGGAAAATTTATTCATGCCAGGGGGTGTTCCAGTAGAACTTGGGGATGATGCAGTTTCTTCACCAAAACTATTGCCTTTTAAGATTTTAGGATTTTTTAAGGTGGATGTCCGTGGACGTTGCACACTAGAAGAACCCTGCATGCCAGACCCTGTAGGTTTCTGTGGTGGACGTGGACTCAGACCCAAATGTCCCCCAGACATGGGCCGAGGCTGACCAGTATCTTCAGGCCAGGTCTGTGACCTGCTGTGTGACGGGAGAGTGGAGCGAGGTTTTTGAGAATTTCCTGGCCTGCAGCTCCTCTGGTGAACTGGTAACCTGTCAGGAAGAAAAGTGCGACCACAGTTTTCACACTCTGCTAAATTATTCTGAGCACTCTGGTATGCTTGCTCATTAAATCTGTCGAGATCATAACCCTTGTTGCCATGTCCAATGGCAGGCAGTACTTGTGGTTTCTGGGGTGGTGGACGCCTTTGATGTTTGGGGAGTTGCTGGTTTTCCAAGTTCCATTTTTTCAAGCACTGAGGCTCATGTATTGAAATGGACCTGGTGCCAAACTCTCTACCACATATGTAGCATACCACTGCTGGTGGGCGACCACTCATCTTCTAAGTCTAGCAGAAGCACCACTCCGGCCACATATTTGCCTGAATGTTGGAAAAACATGCTTTCACATTCAATCAATCTATGCTAATTATGTCTGATGATATTGTCAAAATATCAATATAAATTCACCTAACTTTAATCAGTGTGTACCATTGATAATTTTATGTGTTTAGGCGTTCAGAGCATCAAATTTAGATTTAATATCTTATATTTTATTTAATGTGCTTGTTGCATGCATTTCACGTTGCTCTAGTTAAATGAGCGGTGAATGTGTATCTGAACTGTTTTTATGTTGTCAAGTCTTCATAATAGGATGGACAGATAAACAAAAAATCATCTCCTAAATTGTGCAAAATGAACACTATCCATTATCACTCATCTGTATCTTACCTATCTTTATGCCCTGGGAGAGTGACAACCATAAAATGCCACGAAAATGGCAAAAAAGAATGTATAAACTACTCCCTGGATACGACCCAGAAAAACTCCCCGCCACCGGAAGTTCAAATATTAACGCCACTCTTCAGGGCTTGAAGGCAGAAATTGTGTTAAAACGGGAAAAGAGACCGAAAGAGAAGATGACACAAGCCCTGTTTACACTATGGCAAATTCGATAAAGACGCCGAAACTAAGGGATTTTGTATTTACTGATAAGCTTGGTAGTGGTACTTATGCAACTGTATATAAAGCATATAGAAAGGTAAGCAAATATATTCCGATTGATTAATACGTGAGACACGTCGTCTGAACATCTTCCTTAACATTACATATTCAATGTATATTCTAGATATCATTATGTTCAAGTTGAATTAGTGAGGTTAAGCTTAGTTATTTTGCATTGATTTTTAACACAAAGATGCAATGAACTGCTTCACTCTTTAACTTGTCAATTTTTTTCTAGGGAGGACCCAGAGAAGTAGTGGCAATCAAATGTATACAAAAAGACGGACTCAATAGATTATCAACTGAGAACTTGCTTGTTGAAATAGAACTTCTCAAGAAATTGAAACATGAGTATATTGTGGAGCTCAAAGATTTCTTGGTGTGAAGGCTTATCCTGATATCAGACTTCTAGTATTGCAAGGGATACTTTTTGATATTTGAGTAAAAGTCTTTATAAAGATCACTTGCATGCACTGCAGTAACATGTATTAAAGAAAATGCATGAATAGGAGTATTTTATTTTATTTTATTTCATTTGTCATCTAGCCTTATTCTAGATTAGTTTATTTAAGTTCCAATTTTTTGCATTAATATATTTTTTGTGGTTTTTAACCATTACATGATAAATTGAATTTAAGTAACACAAAAGCGATTGATGTCATCATTTCAGACTTTGCATAGAAAACATACTTGGATGCAGCCTTTAAAATTAATGAATAAGTTCAAAATGCACATTAATTGTAAAGTATTCTTCATACCAGTAATTACCAGTAGCCTACTTTCTGAAAGAAATTTAATAACTCTTTTTGTAAATATATCTTTCTAAGCTACTCATTTATATATTCATATTTAGATTTAAATTTCTAGTACCCACACCTTTTTTTTCAGAAGAAATTGATCTGAAGTAAATTTTGTTTTATTTTGTTTTATTTCTAGTGGGATGACAACTTTATTTATCTTATTATGGAGTACTGCAGTGGTGGAGATCTCCTGGGGTTCATTCAAAGCAGAAGAGCTTTACCAGAAAATATTGTCAGAAAATTTCTTAGGCAAATAGGTAAAAGTTATCAAAAGACTATAAAATTTTCATATTGTATTTAAATTTGTGTGTGATGTAAATAATATATCAAGAGGATGTTTTTTGTGCTTATTTATTTTTAGGATTATCTTTTTATATTTTCAGCAAAAGCACTTCAATATATGCGTGAAAATGAGGTCTCTCATATGGATCTTAAACCTCAAAATTTGCTGTTGTCTTCAAATCTTAATCCAGTTCTCAAGATTGGTGGTAGGTAGATTTGTACAAAGAAACTGAAAACCTGATAAAACATATGTGTTTTTACCTTAAATATTTCTAAAATATTTACCTTTGCCCACAGTGTCACAAATAGTTATGAGCAAGCCGTATTTCCAATTCATCTGACCTCTTTCATATTGATTACTTGTACTTCTTTATTTCTTCACATTTATTTAAATAAATTATTACTACTAATTTAAATATTGTAGATTTTGGCTTTGCAAGGTATTTACAAGGTGATGTGGAAGGTGACATGCTCAGAGGAACTCCATTGTACATGGCCCCAGAGGTTGTTTGTAAGCGTCAGTATGATCCCAAGGCAGACTTATGGTCTGTTGGAGTTATACTGTATGGTAGGTTTTATGTCTGAAGGTTAATTTTTGTGTAAAGGCACTGTATTTGTCTACATCTATTATGATCACTGTGTCTGTTTGTATCATCAACACACCAGTTGCTCACCCTTACAAATCATGTTTTTGTTTTACTGCAAGTTTGCTGAGAAGGTTAGTTTGGTAAAAAGACAGGTTCCTTTTTGAAAATCAGTATGATTGATTTATTCTTATGTTAGTTACTGATTTTTTAATGAGTTCCACAAGTGCCAAACCTTATTTTTGTATTACTTCAAGTTTGATGAGTGGCTTTGTTCGAAAAAAAAAAAAATGCAGGTTCCTTTTAAAAATGAACATGATCTGATAATTCTTTTAGCAAAGAATTACATATATATTTATATTTATATATTTTTGTGTGTGTCTTAGCAATATTTTTTTTTTTGTTCAGTGTCTGTGTATTTGCCAGCTTACTTGTCTAGTTTCTTTCCTTGTTATTGGTACCAGTAATTTTTTACACTCCTATTTGTTTAGAAAATATTGAGATTATCAAATAAGTTTTACTTATTATCATTAGTGATTCATTACCTGATATTTACTTCTTAATACCCTTTTTTACAGTTTTTTTTATGCACAAAATGGTATATATTAATCCTGTTCCAGAATGTCTCTTTGGAAAGGCACCATTTGCTTCTCGCAGTTTAAAAGAGCTTGGAGAAAAGATACGGGACACAAAACCAGTCGAGGTAACAAATTAAATAATAATAGAATATTATTTGGTATAGAGAAGAATGTTTTTGGTTTAACATTTAAGTCATGTTTTAACAGTAGGAGTGCAGTTTTAAATTGCCACCATGCAATTTTTCCTGTGAAGGAGTTTTATTACAATGCAGAGACACAAGCATTTTGGCTCTGATAATTTGGCTGAAAAAAGAAGTTGAATCCAGATGAATTGTCTCAATGTGGTTTTGCTATTTACAAAAATATAAAGGCAAACAAACTTGTACTTATTAATAGGACTGCTTAAAAATATTTTTGTTTCTAATAGATTCCTTTTGGTGTAAATATATCTGATGGATGTCGCGATCTTCTACTCCGCCTGCTTCAGCGAGAACCAGAGAAGAGGATATCATTTGAAGACTTC